TTCTAAATAGATTATAATAATTGGGGTAAATTTAATTGATTTGATATTGTTTTTATTTAATTTTACTAACTATTACCGATGATAAAAAATGTCCATGTTGTTATCGCCAACATGTTTTTATTATTTGTTGGTTATTTTGTGATAATTTTTTTTTTCAGCGGGGCTTTTGTAATGTTTTAAAATTTTATTTAATAATTGATTTGCATAAAAAGTTGTATGAAACGGTTAAAATACATTTCTGTAAATAATTTTAGCAAGTTTAGGTGGACTATTATATAAAACTTCATAAATATAAAATATCCAAGCAACAAATTAGTATCGTTAACCTTTATTGACCACTCATAGTTAAATAATGGATTGTAAATAATAATTATATGCTGTGGTTTTCCTAATTTTCGGCAATACTTATTACTCTTCTCACAATTCAGGATATCATCAAATATTTAAAATCTTGTTATCTTCTCATTTTATTATTTATACTTTTGAACAAAAATTATATAATGTATAACTTTGCCGTAAGTATTAATACAATTAAAAGACCTAGCACACTGTAAATACGGCATATTTGAAACAACTATAGATGATATTTCAAAGTGATTAACATCACTATCATTAAAAAATGCTTCTATGCGACTGTAATAATTATTTTATTGACATGTGTATTTTAAAGTCAAATAATTCATAGAAATAATATCGTAGGAACGTATTTTGTATCTCATTATAAATTACTCTAATTAATTATGAGTTTTATTTGTTAGATGCCCCGAAAAATTTTCAAAACTAAAAATAATAGTAATTTTTTAAATTTAATTTTCTCATAGAAGAACACGCGTGGATAATTCTATTTGAAATATTGTAGTTCCAAAAAACATTTTCAAAAATTGATCAAAAAATTATTTTTTGAATTTTGAAACTTTTTTTAATTTCTAAAATTGAAGGAGTTCTTTCAAATGCTTAGTGCTAATGAGTTTAGCTAGAGTAAAATTGGACTCTTTTACAAGCATTGATCAAGTGTCTACTCATAAAAACTTATTTCACTTAAAAACTTAATTTTCAAAATTTTGTGACTTATGTCGTTTCTCACATAAATGGTTCTAATACGTGTTGCACGGTTACGAAACCTATTTAAAATTTACTACGACTTCTTGGAGTTGACTTTTTTATATGAGTTTTAAAAATAGACATAGTAATATTTGAAACGAAACATACATAATGTATTACTCATATTCTATTTGTGATTAGAATCACTCGTTTGTAATCAAATTTTAAGAATTGTTCTTCAAAACATAATAATATATTCTATAATTCATCATTTTTCTGGTGCGATAATATACTAATTATTAATGAAAACGCTCTGGTATAAAAAAAAACAAAATACAATAGAAGATAAGTAAATATCTTCAATAATTTATAAAACTTTAATGGCGTACACTAAAAAATAGTTTTCATATTCATGTTTTTTAATCATGGACTTGTTCATTAAACTTATACTTATTTACGTAACAGTAAGAACCATACAAAATGTTTTTATAGTGTTGTAAAAAATGACACACATAGTGTCTTTAACATATTCCTATAGTTGTACAGTTTAAAGGAAAAATTTATCTATAAGGCCTTTTACACACATTTAATTACAAAACCTGCATAATTAAAAGTCTAGCGTAGTTATAACTTTCATTAAAGTAGTGCCATGAACTTCTAGTGTGTCGTTAAACTCAGTTTGAGAAGTCTTACAAGCCGAAAACTTATACTCTGACGTATAAAAATTATAAGATATAAAATCACGCGTAATGAATTACTAATTACAATTATAAGATAGTATAACATTTAATGTTCTGTAAAACAATTTAAAAATAACCACATTTATGGGTCTACACAATTTTTTTTAAGTCAATCAAACAAAATTTAATATTTTTAATTTATTTGTATACACATCATGTTATTCACTAATTTTTTCAATTTACTAAAATTATTTAATTTTAGTTCAAACAGAAACAAGAGAACGCATAACTTGCACACCATGGACATCAAGACTACCAAAAATGGCACAGCCGGATTTAGATTATATAGGTATATATTCCTGTGAATAAAATATTTTTATACTTTTGAAGAGATCTAAAATTTGTTTGGGATCATTAAATAGAAATGTAAAAACATAGCAAAAAAAAACTGTTGCTTCACCGAACCTAAAAAGTCGCAAAAAAACAAATTTTACTTGAATAACGTTTTAAAGCGTTAATCGTAATTTTTATTAAAACTTATTCAAACAAAAAATCTTTTTTAGCGCCAGAAGTTCAGCTGTCGTCTTACTGTAGTTCTCACAGTGACATGTTTTCATTAGGAATGGTAATATTCGCGATATTTAATAATGGGCGGCCACTAATTCAAGCTAATCATAGCAGCTCAACGTATATGAAACAGCTTGATGTGGTAAGTTGAAACTTTTTTGTATGATAAATTTCATGTGATATTAATGATTGTTCGACATACGCTTAAAATATCATTGATCACGTAGTTGTAAAGAAATGCACAGTGTAATGTCATGCACAATATATTATTCTCAATGATACTGCGGGTTAGGCTTGCCGTTATTTCTCCACTTAAAAAACACTTCTGTGAACCTTCACTTTAAACCAAAATGTTATTAATCCCAGTCACACGAATGCAGCTGTTTGAGACACCTGTTAGCGACTAAATTACCCAACAACAAAATGGTGTACAGGTGGGTGTGAATTGCGGGAAAATCTCTTTGTTTCGTTCGCAATTTCAGAAAGCATCAAGCCGCCTATATAGTGTCGTTCTCTGTCGTCACGATGTGTTGCAACAACATTCCGAAGAGTTATGTTCTGACAGCATTAAATGATCTCGATATTGAACCGCAACAATGCGGCATGTGCAAAACCTTGTCAGTGTCACCAATTCAAAATATTAAATTTAAATCGTCTAGCAAAACTTATTCGAAGAATGTATTTATGTGCTCTCTAATATTTTTCATACTTCTACCATTTTTCCATTTTAATAACTATTATTGATTCGAAAAAATAACAATAATAAATAAATGAGTTAATGAATGCACTCTAAAGACAGTTCTGATGATTAAGTTGTTTTTACAGGAGTATCATGTAAAGGCGCTTTTGCACTGCAATACAATATATTTTGCTTGATTGTTTAAAAACAAACAGTTGTATGGGACTCTTAGTAAGAAGTTAACATTTATGTTTAACGCTTTCAATTAATTTTGGTATACGTAGTTGAAACTACTACGTTATTAATTCATGAAGACTATATTTTTCTTACTCGTAAAGTATATTTTTCATACTCTGAAATAAACATCCTTAAGAAAACGAACGTCAGCGACTAGTGGCATAGACAAATTTTTACCTTACTCGTATTAGTACACAACTGGAGAATTTATATTATAATGTTATGGGTACATGTCATGACAACGTATTTGTTTGTAATTTTCCACAGAAGGCTATACGACAAAAAAATGCTTTTGACGATTTCACAAAAATGGCAATGTCCAAACTATTAAAAAATAAATATTTCCCTCGATATATACCACAATATCCTTTAAGAATAAAAATGTTTTAATGGATTTATGGCTAAATTATCATTTTAATTTCTCAAAATCGATTAATTTTGTACTTTACTAACTACCTTAGAGCTATTTACGAGATCTCAAAATTAGTGATAATCTATTTAGCATGTTACTTTTAACAACGAGATAAATTGATTTTTTTCAGCTGGAAAATCAAATACATAATGTGCTTCCAAAAGTTCCTGCGCAACTACAAGAAATGGCTTCAAAAATGTTAAGTAAAGATGTTGATGCTCGACCAGCAGTGAAAAATTTGTTGCATACGCCTTATTTCTGGTAAAAACTTATTAAAGTATTTAGCATGGCAAGAGCTAAAAAAATATATCACTGTAAAAATAGTTTTTTAACATATGCCGACATAAATGAAACTTTTACGAGTTATTTACATAATAATTAAGTTTGTTCTCGTAATATAAACTCTATTATGCGTATAAACTTTATCATAATATATTCACTACCATCTAGATACTTAAATTGATCTTCCGTAAAAATACCTATTTGAAAACATGCGTGTATTAATAATCATCTCGTGTAAAGTATTTTAAAAACAAACCTTACACAAGTCCTTTAGGGATCTAAAGCACTTGTGAACTGCTCGGATTTTTATACAAATAGACATTTTAAATACTCATGAGTTTAAAACATAATTTTAGTTTTATTACTTTTAAAGAGTCTAAAATTAAAGAAACCGATACTTACTCAGAAAAAAATTAAAAACCAGTACAATGTGGTCGCGGCATAGTTGGGACAAGTGTAAATGATAAGTGGCAGTGTTTAGTATCACTATCATAAAAAACGCTTCAATGTGAAGCTATTAAATTTCACAATAAATTGTATATTTGTAATTTTTCTAACAATCGTAAGGTTTTTTATTTTTAATATTGTGGCAATCATTAAGAACTTTAATTTGATATAAATTAAAAGACTTACGTGCCGGAATATTTACAATAATTGAAAATAATGTAATTTTTGTGTTGTAAAAATTGAGAATTTTTTTAACTTTATGGCTGATTTTTCATAGTAGAACAATCGTTGGATTGGATATTACTTTTAGGTATTTTTATCATTTTATTTTACCTTTGCATTATTTTTTTTTTAATTAACCTCTAAAAAAATTCCAGTGAATTAACCACTTGAAGTGGTATCTTGTTTTCATTATTATTGGTTGTGGTTTTTAATCTACAACACTGACAACTTGGCATTATACTTAATTTTATTTGATATTTTTACAGCAATTGCAATCATTTTTTCAAAACTTTTTAGTTTTAATGCTTAGATAGTTTTTTATTAATAATAAACAAATATCTATAAGTGAAAAATGATTTATAAAAATAAACTTCACGGTGTTAAAAATACAAAAACTACTTTATTTCATTGTAGTTCCCAGAATAATACAGGTGTCAAAATGTATTGACCCATATTTCTCCGAAGAAAGATAGCTATAAGACAATTTTAAAGTTTAGTATAAAGTTATAAATGCAGTGAAGTAGAAAGAGCTGATAAAAAATGTTTAAAAACGTATTACATACAATGTCGGAAATAAAAAGAATAATTTCCGTATTTTTAAATATTTATTGTTTATATAACTTCACTGTTATATAAAATGAAATATCTGTGGCTAAAATATAAAATTACAAACTGTTCTTGTTAAGCTTTATTAAAAAAAAACAATATTAATTTCTCACAAAATAATTATAATACAGTTGAATTATTTGAACTAATTATATTGTAGTACTATGTGTTTTTACTAATCTGAAATAATAATGGTTGTTACTTTTGTAATCGTAACGCTCTATTATTATTATTATTATATTTGAGAAGTAAAATAACTTATGAAACAATGTGACACATCGTTTAATACTTTACAATGAGTTATTTTCGATTTATTCAAAATAAGTAGGTTCAAGGAAGTACATGGTTGTCAAATGCGCCAAGTTAAATATAAATGTATGTAAATAAGGTAATTATTCAAAAGTGGTTATTGGCCGCTTCATACTAATTCACGAGACGTTTTACATCTTAAATTTAAAAACAATTACTTTAAATTAATATTTAATTACCACAAATCATGATTAGCAATTTTCAAACATATTTGTCATTGTTGATCATATTGTTCCAAAAGAATTAATAAAATTAAGTGAATAAATTATGCTCTTGATCTACAATAATAGCTAAAATAAAAATATTTCTGTGTATGGATATTTAATACTAGAGCAGGTAAAATAAAATTAAGATTTATGTTATACTTGACACGTTAAAAGGTTATATTAATTAGTTTACTTAAAAATTATGATAACAACTTTTGAACTCGTATACAATTAACAATTGAGATTTCATAATTCAAAATCCTATGTCAAATTAAAACAATCATTTAAAATATTAAAGAATAAAAATTATATAATATTATCTTTAATAACTTAAAGCAATACAGTACATTTAACTACTACCCAGTAAAATAATTATTTTCTAGGGTATAGCCATTGATATTATTAGATTATATTGAATAAAATTATTAAAAAATAATCAATTCGTTTTTGTTAAATAGTTATGTAATAAAGTAAATTCTAAGTATAATTTGACTTTATAAATATTTTTCCTGTTATTTAATTATTTATTTGAATTTTGGAAAGTACATTTTCTTTTTGTAAAATGATAGACTTTTAGTACTTATCACTTAATAAACATAAAAGTGATAATGTTTTTTATAAATATACTATAACTTCCTTTGATGTTTATTTTAAAATTCTAAATGTTCATGTTTACAGTGACAGATTTGTTGAAACAGTGCAAACACTAGACATTATCAATATGAAAGACCTGACGCAAAAATGTCAATTTTACAAAATAACATTAAAAGAGTCACTACCATTCATTCCAAAGGTAAGATCACCTACCGATATTTAAATAGTTATAAGTAGTAAAGAACTATCCATACGATACTTTATGATATAATTGAAAGTGACTTTACGATTCACAAAAATAAATTTTTCAGAAATGATCTAATTTAACTATATACATAAATTCATTATTTATCTGTTTGTTACTTTTTAAGTACGAATTAATTTCACAAAAACTAATAACTCGACTTTTACTTGTATGGCGAGTGCCTTAATTGACAATTTAAATAGTACTAATATAAAATAAATAGAGCTTTTTACTTACGGGACCAATTGTGTAAAAATGTATTAAATCGTGTATTTGAGTATAAAATTATTTTATATTAATAAAAAATAATTTGCAAAAATCAATTAAAGTATCTAAGTATAAATTTAAATATTAAATCTAAAATAGATTTTTTATAGTGCTCTAATTACAAAATTATCACTCATTTTATTCACCACAAAAAACATAATAGAATTTGTCACAATAAGTAAAGTGATCATTTTTGAAACAAATATTTTCGAGAAAAAAATAAAAATGATTTAAATATTGTAGTATTTTGCCGTCATTTCTCAAAGTCGTCTAAAATAAAAAAAAAGTGGAGTGACAGCTATAAATATTTCAATTTCTATTTTTACATAGACTTATAAAAACGCTGTCTTATGATACGGAAAAGAATGACTCGAAATAGGTTTTACATTAGAATTAAAATCACTTACACATAAAAGGAATTACCAAACATATTCCAATGACATATACAGCTATATATATCAAAGCTGTTAGATATAATAAATTAAGCAGTGTTGAAGAATTTTAATCTCATACATTTAAATAATTTCATTAAAATTTACAAATTATCACTACTATCAAAATTGCACATGGAAATTTCGAATGTAATGCATTAATAACTAATTATTCATTATTTATTAGTGTAATATGATAAAATAAATAAGTAAGGAACAGTTTTAGTAAACCGCAGATATCAAAGTCAACATTTGTCTAAAAATCTGATGTCATATTACCATTGAACGATTTGATGGAAGCGACACAAAATTATTATAAGAAATTAAAAATCAATGATAAATCATATTACTTTAAAAAATAACGTGTTATATGGAATAAAGAACTGACAATATTGTTTTTTATGATATATGTAACTCTTCATTAGGTGATTAATTTAAAACGTTTTAAAACTTTTTTTAAACATGTTTCATATTTTTTACNTAACTCTTCATTAGGTGATTAATTTAAAACGTTTTAAAACTTTTTTTAAACATGTTTCATATTTTTTACATTTTAATGACTCAAAATTTTATCTAAATTAAAATTGCATTTATTGTAAAATATTTTCAACGCAATTTTATTTTATTGTTATAAACTCTAAACAGTGAAATTATTCAAACATAGACGGCATTGTCGGATGCATAAGTTTAACATTATTTTTAAACATTTTATTTAAGTAATAATATAATAATAAACTATAATATTATTAAAGTTGATAAAAAGTATATATAGCTCTTAGTTATTATATATATATATATATATACAATTTATTAAAGTGGTCCAAATATGTTAATAGTATTTATATTAAATAAGTAAAATAATAGAAAAGTAATTAATACTGAATTAAAATGGAAAACATTCTATTAGAGCATTAAATATTATCTAATGAAAAATTTAAAAATATCTAACAAAACATAAAACCGTAGGACATTTCAAGTAATCATGTTTAATTTATATCAAAATGAAAATAAAATGTATGCTAATTATAACACAAAGTTCATAACGAAATTAAAGATAATTAAAAAAAAATTGTTTTACTGTGTCACATAAAATAAATATTACCAACGCATTTAAACTGGTAAACTAAATTAAAATGTTTAAATATATTTTAGTAGTAGATAACTATAAATAAATAAATAAATACAGTCATTGAAACTTTAAAAATGAATTAAACATTAACATTAATCAACGATGTGCTAGGTAAGACACTGTGTTACACCATATTTCAAAATTAAGTATCACTATATACTATTGATTAACTAGACTAAGGATAGATATTTAGTGCAGTTTGCTATTAAGACTTTTGATTTCGTGAATAATAATAGCCAATGAAAAGTTTGCGAATCTCTGTTAAACGTTAATGCTGTTTATATGGCGTCGCCCAAAGATATACACAACTTCTGCAGGCTTTTTTCTTAAGATGAAAAAAAACATTAAACTTCTAATAAAAGTTTTCTGTGTCTATAAATATTAATTAAACACTCTACCCGAGGTATGTTTTTAACGAACATATTTCAACATTTCATTATTTTAGCTGAGTTTGGGTTATTTTCTAGAGAAACAAAGGAAATTCTATACTTTTTTTCTGGTAATAACTTTGAAAGACTCCTATATCGAATGCTTTCAATGAATAAATGTTTTTTTTTATAAAAACAAAGTATTTATAAAATACCTATAAAGCTTGATAAAAACAAAATATTTTTTATTCAAATTATCATGTCTGAAAGGGTCTGAGTATTACAGTATTTATTTTAATGTATAAAATTACGCTCTTTATTGATTGGAAGCAATACGCCAATGACTATTTGCCTTTTATCAACGTAGTACTTTATTAATATTTATAGCTTTTTGTTTTAAGAACGCTTGGAGTCTTTCACTTGTCCAAATATGTTTAACCCAATACTTAATATATTTTCCAATAAAATCATTTGACGATGAATCAAGTAACAGGTAACTAGGTAACAGTTTGTTTTATAACTTATGTATTACATCAGTTAAAACTACCGCGAAATGCTTTTTTAAGATAAATAATCATTCTCAATACTGAAAATGTTCTGCATTAACTTATAAATTTTTAAGTATAAAAAAACTTTTTTAAAATTCTTACGAATATTAATTTTATGTTAACGTAAATAAAAAACAATTAAACAAGTAACAAGTCTTTACTTATATACATAATAATTTATTTTTGTATAAACACAAATAATTATGACATACTCTTATTTCGTTTGATATTATATCTCATTTTGAAAAAAAAATTTCGCTGATGACATGAAGGTTTTAAGTGGCTATTTTAATTTATGAAAACAGTCCTTCAAATAAAAATGAAATTCTTCATATACAATCATTTATCTTACGATAGAAATAACAATGTGTACATTTTTATAAAATCTTCTTTTTATGTACCTCATAAAATCAAGTTATTTTTTAATTTTCATGTAGAAAGTTTCCCATATGAACTCACTTATACATATAATTTATATTTTTGATTATTAAAACAACATCATTAGATGTGTAGTAATAATAAAAATGATACAACATTTTTTGACTACATAAATAATAAAAATAATTAAAGACAATATTTTGTTAAGATAAAATTACAAAAAAATCAACTCGTAACTTTATTATTTAATGAATATTATTCCAATGGTTTTTAAATTTTTAGTTCCCATTGACGCATTATTATTTAAATAATTAAATATATACAAATCATTGTAATGTAATAATACAAGTCTTTCTTTTTTATTAATAGTAAGCGCTATAAGACATTTTAAAGACATTTGTTTATTATAAAACAAAATGTATTTTAAGTGTCCATTTATCAGTGCAAGAAAAAAAATTAGATATAGTAAATAGTTTAACACTGCCGAAGAGGATTGACGGTGTCGGTCATCAGAAGTTTACCGGAAATCGTGTAAAAAAAAGGCACGGAACGTGATTAGAACCCAAGAATAAGGCGTTGAAACAAACCTTACCATTAAATTGAGTAATTAAGTAAATGTTTGATCCAACTATGTATAGTTTTTTCTGTGTATTGTTACTACAGAACATACATTAAAATAATAATTTTAGCTTTAATTCATGATAAGCTTAAAAAAAATAAAAGAACACGTGGTTTGGTGACTTAAACATTTTTTTTACCCTAAAATATGTTTTCATAAACAATAAATATAATTTTAAAATTTTTTTAAGTGCTAATTCTTCTTTCCTAAGCTCCCAAAAATTTCCATCTATAGTATTAGGTTAAATTTAGTGTTTTTTAATTAAGATTGGTTTGAGTAGTCAATTATGATCAATAAAAATCGAGTAGTTTTTCTATTAAATCACAGCTTATTTGCTAAAATTTTTAATTACATAGTATTTTAATTAAAAAATTAAAACATTAGGTTTGTGATATACATTCAACATTATAAGCCAATTTTGTCGATAAGCAAACAAATAAGTAAACAAACTCTTAAAATATGATCCAAATTAAGCCTATTATAATATTTTATTTTTGTAGTTTAACTAAAAAACCACTAAATATAATTAAGCTTTTGTCTATTTGTTTTCGTTTGATTTAAATTATGTTATGTACATACATACAAGACCGTAAAATCCATTAGGCTTTATACAGAGTAATTTTTTTCTATGACTGATGCAATGTCTTTAAAAGTTGACACCTCTATAAGATACAAGGGATGAAAATAAAAAATATTCTATAATACGTAACTAACAAAAGTCAAAAAAAAATTATATTTAAAAAGAAATCGAGTGGCTAATGATAAAAAATCACTCTGTATTAGTTATTTTAGTTAAAAGTTAAAAATTCCTAAATTTTAGTAAAACTTCATTACTTTTTTAATTTTGCCCTAACACTTTAAAAATTCACTGGTCTTAAATTTTAATAGAATAGACTAAGGGCAAGAAACTTTGTTTTGGTATACTTCTTATAAAAATCCAATAAAACACCTAAATACAGAATTGGCTTAAAAAAGCCTAACCAATCGTGTAAAAAAAATGTTTTAACTTAACTTTTGAAAATGTTCACGAACGTCTACTTATTTTTTTAACCTATATCAACTTAAAGTTCTTGATGTATACTACAATATTTAGAAAACCCATTTCACGGTTTTGATTGAAATGTTTACGGATATATATCTTTGTTTTCAGTTATGAGCTGACGTTTCGGACCTGTTGCAAAGCCTGTCTTCAGAGCCATAGTTACAGGCCTTGTGGTTGTAGGTTGTATAGTTACAACCACAATCGCTCAGCTCATAACTGAAACATGGATATAACCGTTTAAAAAAATATGACGATCCATGAAAGCTCTAACACATTAATCCCTCGGTTATTCTACTATGAGAAATCAGCCGTCAGATTAATAGTTTTTACAATTTAGCAATTGTACAATTTAATAGTTTCGCAATGAGGCGTCTTTGTGATAATGTGATGTTAATAACTTTCAAATATCATTTATTTCTGCTTAACTTGTTAAAGTAACATTTTTAGTAAAAAAATATTTTTTACTTAGGAATTTATTTATTTATTCATTTATTTAATTAGTGCTTTAAGCTTATGAATTTTATTCTTGTACCGAAAATGTAATATATCTGGTATACTTTTTAATCAAATATACTTATTTTAAAAATTGTACACTATTTTTATAAGTAACTTCAAAGCTGAAACAATGTAGTACTAATTATCATTAACATTATTTTTAATATTATCTATATGCATATATTTTTTAGAAAATTTGGTATCAAAGAGTTTGGCCATTTTTACAACATGAAATGATGAAATCGGACGTTTCTGCTGCTGTACTGCATCCTGTAATATTTTTAATACAAGAATCTACTTTAGAAGACTATGAAACATTAATGCTCCCTGCAATGAGGTAACATTTATTATCATGTACTCATCAATCATATTCCTACAAGTTTCTCCTCTTCATATTTAGACAAAATTATAATTATTATAACGTATTTATCATTTACAAAATTAAAATATTTACTATCGATTATTGAAATTTTATAGTAAAATATTCAATGGGCCTAAACATGTTCCTGTTCAAGTAATATTACTTGAAAATTTACACGTGATATTAGATAAAACACCAAGAGATGATATTAGGAAAGAAGTATTACCATTACTGTATACAGCTTTTGATTTTTCGGATATTGAAGTCCAGGTAAGTTTACCTTTCATAAATAATTATAAAGTATTATTAAAAAAAAAAAAACAAGAGTCATAAAATTTTGTTTCATTTTTATACCTTTTGAATTCAAAAACTNTAAAAAAAAAAAAACAAGAGTCATAAAATTTTGTTTCATTTTTATACCTTTTGAATTCGAAAACTCGTGTAATATTCATTTTATAACAAATAGATGCTATTTATGGCTAAATTATACAATGTATTTATTTTCTTAGCGATATAAAAAATATACATGTATCGACTATGAGTATATATGTTCACATTATTTTTTAAATATTGTACGTATTCATGTTTATATTNTGTAATATTCATTTTATAACAAATAGATGCAATTTATGGCTAAATTATACAATGTATTTATTTTCTTAGCGATATAAAAAATATACATATATTGACTATGAGTATATATGTTCACATTATTTTTTAAATATTGTACGTATTCATGTTTATATTCTATAATACATATAAAATATTTAGATAAAGATTTTATTTGTATTTGTTTATTGGGTGATTTTTTTATCGTATAATATGAGATTTTTGGAAATCATTTAAAAACGTTTTTATGTTGTGTGTACGTCGAATAAAAACTCCTCGTTGATTATAACTGCTGCTTATTGTTGCTTGTAAAATTGTTTCCTATGATAAATTTATTATGGAATTATAAAAATATATATCTTAATACTTTCAGAATCCAATTTAATATCTTTTAAAATATATTAAACTGTTTTCTATCGAAATGTATAATATTAAAAAGTTTTCGAGTCAGAAATGTTTTCAAGAATGGACTTTTCAAAGAAGATATTTAGTGAAAATTAAAATCTAAATTTAATTTGAAGAATATTTATTATTTCTCTATAGAAATATTTTATTTAGGGTATTCTACTGAAGTATTCTTATTAAATTATCGTTGGAGTATATATGTACATGGTGATTCATTTATCTTGTACCCGTTAATTAATCAAATTTATTTATTTTTGCTTTCTTTTAGGTACATGTTCTTTTTTTTTTTGGTACAACCCGTATTCCTTATGAGCGTGACAACACTATTCATAAAAATGAGAACATACATAATTAACTAACTTATTTAATTGATAATAATCTAATTAAGTTATTGACATTTTTATACTTCGATGGATGGAAGAGTATGGTCGGGAAATGACTAATGATTAAAATAAAACCGGCGTGCACATCCAGTCTATATTTTAAAACTATTATAATTCAATGAGTACTCGCCATAATTATCGATATATTTTGTAATTAAACAAAAAAAACCCTAAAAACAACTATTTTGAAAAAAAAATATTTTACCTTTTTATTAGTCATGAATAATAAAGAATATTTATAACTTATACATTATAATAAATATGCTCTGTACGTATTCTTAGAAGACAATATAATTATTTATATAAACATTTTTAATCAAATAATAATCGTATCAATAATTATTGGATTTACTAGATCGTGAATTATACATTATATATTTTTAGAATAGATTTTTAGAAAACCATTTGGTAAAATAGTACATTATTAATGTTGGGTAGTAAATTTTCTGCAACATTTTAAAATTTATGAAAATTTGAATTTTCATGTATCTATTTTGCGGTATTACACATTGAAATATGTTATAAAACATAAACTTCTGGTAACTATTGGGTGTATAAGTATGAGATTTTTTTAAAGAAAATTCAATAACTCTAACCTGCAATTAATGCGAAAATATTTTTTTATCTGTCTTTTAATAAAATATTTTTTTTTTATTTACTCTAAAAAATGACAATCTTGGTTTCTCTTTTTAAAATTTTTCACAAGTTAAAATATATTTTAACTGTTAAAATTTTCATACCTCCTAAGTATAATTATAATTTTAAAAAGAAAAAAGTAATGCAAATATTTAGTTAATCAAAAATTATTAAATTTATCAAATCATAATATATATCCAGATATATATGATATATATATTGGATATAGCATATCCAAATACAAAAATAATGTAATTTGAATGGAAAAAAATTTAACATTAGTTAAGTCAAACAAAATTCTAGGCATAAATGTTAAAAGTTGACATGTCATACTATGTTGAAACTTAATATATCTTTATACAATTTTTTCATGTACATTCTTCTAAAATATTTTTTATTGTTGCCATATTTCAAATATCTGAGATAGTTTAAATAGTTCACACGATTTGGTGAAAAAATTAAAAAAATACCTAACATTTTATGTTTCATAAATTTTATCGAAAAAGTTTCTTGTATATTAAAACGTATTACTACTATTCTGTTTTCTCAAATGGAACCTCTTAAAACGCAACTGAATTTATATTAAAATCTTGATTTATAAGTCGTGCAGTGGAGCCGGGAACCGGCGGTAGAAAGGAGGGAACAGTTGCCTCTTGGTAAAAACAAGAATAGTAGGTGACTTGTTTTATCCGATATCAAAATACTTAACATCATTTTTTATAAACTCAGTTACTTGAAACATTATTTAATTATTACAACATACGTAAAAACTTACATTTGTTTGATAAACCTATCTTACAAACAGAATACTTTTATACATTTATGAAAACTTCAAAGAAATTACATCGCAATTCGTTAGTTTGGAATTAGTTTTATAATCACCAAGCTTCTACGAAATCTAGTTCAAAAACTGAGAACAACTTTAATAAGTTGTTCTGGAGATTTTGAAGAGAATGTACAAATATTAAGTTTGGGCGAAATATTAATGTTTTTAAACTTTTACTCTACTTCAATATTTTAGTACATAATACATAAGAAAATTTTAAACAATAAATTAAAAATCATATTTTTTTATTGTTAATATTCATATTTCAGTAGTTCTAATATATTTTTTTATAATATAACGACGTCGTGTAATAGATTGAATCAAAAATTTTAACCTTCTATTCTGTTTTCCCTTATTAAATTCATACAAAATTTGTCAAAACTTTAATTATTTTAATATGATACAAGTAAAATATTTATTTAAAATGAATTTCCACGTTTTAAATAAGTTATTTTCCAAATTGAAATATATATACATAATAATTAAAGAATATTGATTTTATGTAACAATAATTTCAGTTATTTACTTTAATAATATGGTATAAATATAAATAAAAACTTTTATATAGAGTTAATAATAATATAATATTGCAATTTAATTGAAATGAATATCGTGTATATACATTTTTGTAACTGCATAAAAAAGATAATTTTTTAATTCTAATGCGTATGGTAGCACACTAATTATAGCTATTAAAAATTTACTGATCCTCGCTGTTTTCTAGTGTTTCAATCCTTAAGAATACTATATAGAATGTGGATACTAATTGTTGTTCATTATTGCAGTACTCTCTAAAGTAATTGTTTCAGAGTGCCGCTGTACTAGCTGTTACAAATGTTTCCCAGTATATGGATGATACAGCTATTAGAAGAATGGTTCTACCTAAACTAAAGATGGTGTATGAAACGAACCCTAACGACTTAAAAATTGTTTTAAATATACTGGCATGCCTAGAAATAATATTACATAGACTCGAAAAGCAACAAATAATTGAGGAAGTATTACCACTAATATGGATAATTAGTCAAACTGATCCAGAAGTAATAGCCAGAATAGCAAGTAAGCTCGATGTCTTTAGTTTTATACTAGTGATGTTTGAACTTAATATGGGTTAGTTAGTATTTAATTCGAAAATCGAACTTAAAATTAAAAAAATCGACCACAAACATTATTATTGTAAATCAATTCGAAAACCAAGTATATTAAATCAAATATCGCAGCGTAAATGTTGAATGTGAAAAAGATAATTCGCCTGAAAATGATTAAAATCTATTAAGTTTGATTAAATATTTAGATTATTCAGTTCGACTACAAAAATCAGGGTACGTAACATCAGTATTTTGTCCAATAAAATAAACATTTTGCTTACGAATGTCACAATATATTGTTTATAATCGAAACGTATACATATAAACACTTCAGTACATTTAACATCTTTTTTAATTAATAATCTTCAAGTTATTTTAGTCAAATTTCAGACCTAAATATCAGAAAATATCTTTTATATATTTATATTCTATTTTATAATCCTAAAAATTTCTTTGGTTTCAAATAATAAAAAATTTATTTAAAATTCATTTTTTATTAAAATTACATTAAAAATAATATTAAAGGAATATAATGTATTTCAAAGAACTATGTTACCCTTTGGCATTAGCTTATCCTTTGCAATGGTACCTTGCCATACCTTGACTTTGCTGTTCCGCTGATTCATCTGATAGCTGATGTAAAAAGCTAATACCCGCGACATTTTCTGTGTAATGAATAACGTTGTTAAGCTTTTGCGATCAACTTGACACACTGAGGTATAAAAGATTCCTAATGAAGAAAAATTACCTTTTGTTTTTGTAAAATAATAATTATTTTCATTGTTTTTATTAATTACCCATGTAGGTAAAATCTTTATAAAATGAAAATTTAAGGATGACTTTTTAACGAAGGCATAAATTCTCCTTTTAGGCTTAATTTTTAATTGCATTTTTATTGAAATAACTTTAATTATTATAATTATTTTTTAGCCAACTTAGTGTGTAATAAATTATTACATTCTAGATACATTTATATAAGTTGATTTTTTTGTAAGAAAATAAAATAAAATAAAATAATTTTTTTAGCTTTAATGCGAAGCTGAGAAAGTATTTTTTTTGTTTTAAAAACGTATAATAAATGTATATAAGTAATACATATTTTAAAAAGTTTATTTTTAGTACTAAAATTTGACAAAATGTAATTTAAAACTTTTTATTCTAATAATGATTCATTCAGTTACAAAGATACGTATGTACAAAGTAATTGTTTTTTGTAATTTTGCTTTAGCTTATCTAGTTATAATCTTTATTTGTTAAAAAAAAAGCAAAATTACAAACAAATAAATTGTTTGGTTATATTTTTTACAATTACAAAACTCTAATGTTGTTTACTTCTTTTAACATATTATTCTCAACAAAAACCTAACTTTATAAAAGTGTTAAACAGTACAAATATAGAAGCAATATATAAAGTAGGATTGCACTTTATTTTTAATTAATGAAAGAGCAAACTTAGCTACAATGTAGATGTCATTACTTTGATAGATGGATTTTTTTAGGAGGAAAAGAATTTTAAATTTAGCCCTTTTTTACAGTAAGGTTTTTGTTGAAACTATTCCTTGTTGTTGGCTTATGCCTGAAAAATTCATCATTTTTATGAGTCATTAAAAATTCAGAATGAACGACTGCTAGCCCTGCAACTCTAAAATAACGTTTCTGCCTATAAGACCATGTATTTAAAAAGAAATAACAATTTTCATAATTTTTCTTTTATTTACAATACAACATCAAATTTTGATAGAATTTTACGTTTTTTCACATACAGAAATTATCTAATAATTTCGAGGATAAGTCAAGCAGTTAGTAATAAAAATTAAATTTTGAAGTTCTCCCATTTTGAAATAGATTAACATTAAGGGCATTTGTTTACAGTGTTCTAAGCTAGTAGAGCCTAGTAAAAGTTTACTAAAATTGTTTTGTGTAAATATTACTCTAGCATTTTTATAACTGGGTCAGGCGCATTGCGTTAGGTTCACATAAAGTAGTTTTTAACCTAAAAAGGCATATTTACACTTGAATAAATTTAAACAATTTTTATTACTCGTAGAAACAATACATTTTTTTATTATAATACATAAACTTTTTTATATTTTAGTAATTTATAGCATGATTTTGAGAGACAAAAAGTATGGGCTATCCGTGACTTTAATAGCAACGAAAATTATGCCAACATTAATTCCCCATACAATGAATCCTGGTTTAAATTTAGAGCAATTTCAGACATTAATAGAGCTCTTGCAAGACATGTTAGATCATATTGACAGGTATATTATAAAAAGATGTATAGTCAATTACAAATTAAACTAGCATTTTAAATATTTCATTTAATTTAGAAACCAAAGAAATAAACTTAAGTTGGATACGATCTCAATGCAAAGTCCTGATAGACACCGTCCTTTAAGACATTTGTACAGTTCTGATAATATGCATGCCCAAAATTTCAATATACCAAACTTGAAAATTGAACAACGCAAAACATCAAGCGCTGAAGATATGGTTCGGAAAAATTCAGCAGGTAAACAAAGCAAAAAATGTGTCTTATTTATGAACGTTTGTTAGTACATCTATAACATTTTAGTTTCTAAAAAATATTAATAATTAATACCTCTCGTATGGCTAATTATTAATAATTTTTTGTAATACATTTTATAGGTAGTTGGTGGTTCGGTGGATCACCTTCTGGGTCAGATAGTAATTTTTTACGTGTAGTAAGCTCATTTCCAAACCGTCGTCTGTCCGATAACATGTTAAACACACCCAAAATTCGAGTAGCTCCATCGTGTGCTTCATCACCAGGAAGTACACCATGTGGTACTGGACTACCAATTCGTAGACATTCCAACGTGGAACGTCGAGGCTCTACAATAAACTTATCTCCACCATCGGTAAAGTTAATTTGTTCGACATTTATTTATAATTTTCAATTAATACTATTGCTTTATAAATGGATTAAATCAATTGGTCATGTTGTATTGATGTACGCTTGAGATTGTGAGTAAACAGGAATGGAAAAGTTATTTCTATAAATATTCGAGGCAATGAACTGGTAACGCTGCGAGTTAAATTGATTAAAAAAAAATGAAATACACATTTGAATGAGACGCCATTTAATTCAAATAAACACAATTTAATTTAAACTTGTCACGCATTTTGCTGCAAAGTATGTGCACTATAACCACCAGGGGCATTTAAAGTAATTTTTTGCACAGGGCTATCAATACATCAGATCGGTTAGTCGCAATGGGTCCACAATGTCGGTACCATCATCGACGTATGTAAGTGATAACAAATAAAAAAGAAATCCGAGTGCTGCATATTATATCGGTGTCCGTTGTCAGTTTAAATGTGGTTTTTCTTGATTTTTCTTTCTTTTTTATTCTTTTTACGTAAAATTTACAACATTAGTCAAGTTTTTTTGGCATGAATAAAATGATACGACAAAAATTAAATGCTCAGATCATTTTCAATGGATAAAGCTATAGTCAATATTACATCTGAAAGATGTACTGTAAACTTAAAAAAACCAATAATTGCTTTTGTATTGACGAAACTCCGTTATAAGGTAGCTAAGTATATAAGGTCCAGATGTAATGTTTTAGTAGGTTTTCTCATTGTTGTTTCTTAGGCTTATTCATGTCAATCTACAAGGGAGCTTTGAGTATAGAGATATAGCTATATCCATCGGAAATAATCTAAAACAAAATGTGTTTGTTTTAACTTTTTTTCATAAACTTGTCAACAATATATTGGGAACATCAAACGAATGGCTGGCGGTTCTCATAATGTAATGAGTTTACAATAAATGACAATGGTACAATGGTCAGGCACAATGTATTTGTATTTTATAAAAAATTGAAAAAATCAAAAATGCTATATATACTTTTAACGAAATAGATATTTATAAATATTTGATTTTTTCAATGCATGACGTTTTATATAATATGTATTTTTATTTTACCTCCAATTTTCTTTATACAAAATTTGTTTATTATATTAAATGTAATATCAATATTATAGTCAAAACTAGAGAATTTAAAACAAATGTTCTATATCATATATTGTAAAAAAAGAGATAGTTAATTTCTCTCCCAAAACCCTTATTTTGGGTCATATTGCTTTTAACTATACAGGGTGATTTTTTTATCATAACCCACTCAATTACTTGCATAATAATAATAATTTAAACATTTTTTTTTTATTATTATCTTTAGTTACATATTATTCTTGAATTTTTAACTATGTAATACTTTTTAAGTTCATCCCTTATGCCTTGTAAGGGGGTCAACTTTGTTTTTTTAAATGGTAACATATATTTTTAATTTAATAAAATGTTTGAGTTTTTAATTTAATAGTAAATGGCATTTGAATTTTTAATATAACTTAATTCGTTTATTAGATATAATCATTTAAAGTTTCAAATTTTTGAATTAATATACAGGTATAATACACAAGGGATTACAAATATAGGTAGCTAATTGATTTTTTATGACATCGATATTAGCAGGTACACAGCATTGTTATTATCAATGGTAGTAAGGTACATTGTTATGAGTTTATAAATACACTAACTGGCAATACAGAAAGTATATCTATTGATAATCATAATTGATAATAAACAATCCGTGACTGAGACAGCAATGTCATAAAAATCCAATTAGCTACCTGTATTTACAATCCCATGTGTATTATACATGTATATTAACTCAAAATTTTGAAACTTTAAATGTTTATATCTAATAAGCTAATAAAGTTATATTAAAAATTCAAATGCCATTTACTATTAAATTAAAAACTCAAACATTTTATTAAATTAAAAATATGTGTTACCATTTAAAAAAACAAAGTTGACCCCCTTCCAAGGCATAAGGGATGAACTTAAAAAGTATTACATAGTTAAAAATTCAAGAATAATGTGTAACTAAAGATAATAATAAAAAAAAATGTTTAAATTATTATTATTATGCAAGTAATTGAGTGGGTTATGATAAAAAAATCACCCTGTATAACCTAAGTAGTAATGATTTTTATGTGTATTGTATTTTATTTTTAACAGCTTTAATTCGCACAATATCACCGTCAGCCATTTTATTATATGGATACAAATTACATACATAATAAAATATTTTAATGATATATCGAAAATGGTATATTTTATAGTTTTTATTTTGACTTACTGCTACTTTCTGGATATAAGAATATTTCTATTTTTATGCGTTACTATTTGTATTTGTTCCATCTTACTATACTGTTGGCTTTTTTTGTTAGCTAGAATTGACCGACACGTATACTCTGTACGTATAATATTGTTCTTTTTTTTTACTCAGCGCATTGCTTTTTGGCTGAATTTTTTTGCACTCGCGATAATTATAATAAAATAAAAATATTTTTTCATACATTCTTTTAATTGAATTACTATATTTTAGATTATTTTGAATAATTTATAACATATTAAGTAAAACAAATTTAGAAATTATTATTATTATTTGAATGGGTTTTATTAATATTTACCTTCAAATTTAAGTAAATAAAAATATTACATATACAGTGTGGTTTTTTAAAGATGATACCTACCATTTTTTTCTTAAAATAATGATTTTATTATGAAAATGTATAAATTAAATTTTTATAATTTATTGTTAAGGTAAAGTTAGTTGTAAGAAAAATATATTCCTAAAAATAGATTTTAAAGGTAATTTTCAAAAGTTAAATGAGAATATATTTTTATTATTTTTTGAGTTAATGTAATTTTGTATTTTATAATGTAACTCTATCCCGCTCCTCACTTTCCTTTTTTTGAATCTTTAAATGTTAATATATCAAAAAGTAATATTATATAAATGATTGTCCACCAATCAACACTTAATTTATACTTTTCTTCATTTCATAGTAAAAATAAAAATTAATTTCTATGTAACTTTCGAAAGTCACTCTTATAATCTACCCTTATAAATAACATTCACTTGCGATTAACTTAATTTATTCGACGATACATGAAAATTAATTAAATTTTAATCTATACATTTTTTATAAAAAAAACATTATTTAATTATATTAAAGAAAAAATTGTGGTATCATTCTTTAAAAATCATTCCGTATAATCAAAATTAATTTCAATATTTTGTCAGTAAAAAATTCAGAATTTTTGTTTTGATAAAAAATATTACTTTAGAAAGGGATTATAAAGCATAAAATTAAAAAAGGGTTACGAATCCGTATAATTAAACACTTTATAGGATGATTTTTATTTTATTTAACATTAAAAAATATAATTTTTTATAAATTTGACACCTTTCACTTAATTTTTATGAATTTTTATATCTTCAACTTGGTGATCATATAAAAATATCAATGTATTATGTAAATTTTTCACATATCAATTGTTAATTTTAGTTTTTTTATGCATAAAACAATCAAATTAAGTAAATATGGAAATTTCGATTCACATTGAATAATATACTATTCGGAATTTATATCACAATCCAATAATGCTTACTCATTTTGATTCGTAAACATTGAAAAAAATAATATTTACTTTTATTTTTTCACAAAGTATTTTCATATTATTCTTAGTTAATGTTGAGTTAATATGAAAAAAATATAACTCATATACAAAACAATTTTTTTTACTACTACATAAAATTAATGAAAAAAATAAAATTTGTATAATAAAAAAACAAATGTAATTTTATTGATATTATTCAGCAAAAATTTAGTAAATTTATACTTAAAAGACTCTCACTTCTTTCCTGTATAATGTTAATGGTGAAAAAATCATAATTTTGAAATTTATTCAAATGTATTACTTATTTTTAATAGTTATAATTTTATCCACGAAAATTTTTCTATATTTCAAGATATTTAAAAATTAAATTAAACAATTTCAAAGAAGTTCTAATTGATTTATCATTGAATTTTTTATGTAATATTAGCTTCATAATTAAATATTATTTAAGTTTTAAAAATACCCCAAGAAGCTATGTTTTGAAAAACTTTTTCATTGTGCTCTTGAGAAAAAATATTATATAATTTAATTTATCGCACATTATTTCTGAACTTAGTAAAATAGTCTTCATATTTTATACTTATTATTTAACTAATTTTATACATTAACATGTATTGCATTTATTATTTAAAAAAGAAAAAACTTGCAGCGTTATAAGTTTTTTATATTGAAAACAAATGATTGTTATGGTACAAAAATTGAATCTAACAATTTTGTTTGTACTTTACACTTTCTGAAATTTTTTAATCTTAATTCTACACAAAGTGAAATATAAACATTTATTTGATAAATAAAAGAAATATATTTATTTGATAAGTAATTGAAATGGCCCTAGTTCTTTTTATAATGAATTTCTACACTAAACACATTTTTTTGTTATTATAGTAGTTTTAATTAGATCTTAATGAAAATATTTATAATTTTAAATCAAGTACTAGTAACTAAATGAATTAAATTAAAATATTATTGCCTATTAATAAAAAAGTTACACGTAATTAAAATAATTAAGGAATTAATGTCTGTTCAGTATTTATTTACCTATGCGAACCGCCATTCTAACAATTTATTACCTACAAATAATCTTTAGGCTTTACTTTTGATAATAAGTATTCTAAAAATTAATTAAATATCGTAATTATTATTTTTTGTTTTTCTAATGCCACTTATACGGATAACAGCTTGCACGGAGCATGATAGTGAGTATTAACTTAATTGATTAAGAATAATTTATTAATAATAGATTATTGACAATATATTTAAGCATAAATATAATACGTATAGATCATACATTTGTCAAGAAAATATGTTAGGATAATGAATTTTCCAATAATATCATGAAATAAAATAGAAAATATACTGCTTGGATAGATTCATATTTTTAACTTACTGATTTATTAACGTAATGACTTTATTAATTTGTCGTCCAGAAAAAATGTAATATGAAGTTTAAGTTTTATTATTTATAAGTATAATACATAAATGAATATTTATTATTGCAATTAAATTTAGTATCAAAATGATATTTATTATTTTTGTATTTAGTAATTTTACAAACTTATATTTATAACATTACTTTTTTAAAATTTCTATCTGGGAAAATTAAAAATGATCTAATTAAGAAAATGAATAGTCAAAAATTATTTTTAAAATAGTACTTCAGAGGTTATAACATTTAAAAATATATAATGGAGGAAGATTGAGGCAGAATAATGTGTATAGATAAATTTAATATTATCCATATTTCATCTACGCTTTATATTTCAAAATATTTATAACTTCCGCAATAAAATAAAGAGAAATCGAATGGATAAAAGTGTCTATCAATAGAATCAGCAATTTGATCGTAGGTAGAACATTTTTTTTTTGAGCCCTATCATTTTGATTGTCATATTATGCTGCAGAATATTTATAACACTTAAATCTTTTTCTTAGTTTATTTTTATTTTTTTTTGTATGATGCCATCATACAATTTAATCCTCTTGGTTAATTTGGGTAATTCCCACCCAACCCCAATTATAGAACTATTGTACTTAAAATAAATAACAAAAAAAAAAATTTTTATTAAAAATTATAACAACACGTATAATATTTTTTTTATATTGGAGGCCATTTACATATAAAAGTCAAGTAGTGACGAATAAATTTTTTTAATTTATAGCATGTGACATAAACTTTAAAATAACATATGTTCGAAGTTCGGTTTGGGAGTATCTCTCGAACATACATTACTTTACAACTAGAAAGGTTCTTGTTTCATCAGATGGATTTGAAAAAGTTTTTTAAGATATGACTGATGCTTAATTTTAAAAAATTGGTGAATTATTCCAAAAGCTACATGATCTCCTATTTCCTTATTTATATCCTGATTACAAGTTTTATGATTTATAAGTGTAATATATGAATATATATATATATTTATAATATATAAAGGTAAAGGGTCCGATAAAAAAATGTTGCATAAAAGAAGAATATTTTTCAAAAAGTTATAGCTTTATACAGTTAAAATATAAAAATTAAATTTTTTTTACAAAAATCATATTTTTTTTATTAACTTTAATGTTTGTTTTCACCATGAAAACAAAATAAAGTCGGAAATTATTTTTTTTCATATTAAATTATATTACATAAGCTTTAATTTAATATATAAATATATATGAAAAATGTCAGTATTTCCGGAACACATTCAAAAATTAAGCTAAAAAGTTATTTTTTCTATATGTATTTTTAAGTTTTAAACCTACCTGTATAAAGGGCAATGGTCCGATTTAAAAAAAGTATGTCGAATGATAAAAGTATATAAATATTATTTCTCATAAAAAAATATAAAGTTGAAAATGTAAAATATAAAATCGAGAATTTTAACACAAAAGTAGCATACGGTAGTAATTTTCACCATGAAGACAAAACAAAGTTCGAAATTTTTTTTTTTCCATAATAAAGTATATTACATAAGCTTTAATATAAGGTATATATAAAAGTATCAGTATTTCCGTAACATTTTCAAAATTTAAGTTGAAAAAATTAATATTTTGTGAAAAAGTTGTCATTTTAAATCCCCTCATGGACAGGTAAAGGGTCAGAAAAAATATATATTAAATGATAGGTAAAAACATCATGCATCTATAAAAAAAATTCATGCTGGTCTTTTTTGAAAAAGTTATGACAATATTAAGTAAAAAAAATTGAAAAAATTTCAAAATATAGCGTATTTTAAATTTGTGGTTCTTTTTAATTTCCCCCATTTACGGGGAACGAGGGAAATTTTTTCAATTTTTCAGGATAATGTATTCGACTTGATACGATTTGTGATCTTTTGACGTATCATTGAAAGAAATCGGTTCGGTGAGAGCTGAGAAAAAGTTGAACAGACACAAAAACAATCACATCATAATAAAATTAATACCTTCTCAGCTTCGCATCGAAGCTAAAAATTGTTATTAAAAATTACAATCTTATTTATTAATATTCCAAATAACTTCACATTTTGAGGAGTAAAATCTATATGCTCCCAACAGTGGAAATTGCGCGCAATTTGATAGTAATGTTGAATACAAATAAAACCATTTTTAAAAATTTTAAAAACCTTCAATGTTCGTTATAAAAAAAAATATTACAAAATTGGAAAATACAATAATATAGTCTATATTAAATTTAATATTTAAAAAATTAACTTTAATAATCAAAAAGTTAGCTTTATTTTTTTTTAATTCAACATTAATTAAAAAAGTTTATTCATAATTATAAAAGTGAACTTTATATTTTAAAAGATAAATTGAACGATTTGAAAAGTTAATTATTTTATATTATTTATATTTTCTATAAAAAGTTAATTTTTATATTCAAGAAAATAATATAATATTCAATTTTAATCTGTAAATTTTAAATAATTTTTAGAATGATTTATTGAATTATTTTAAGAACAACATGAACTCCTATTTTCATATTTATATCCAAGGCAAAAGTTTTATGATTTATAAGTATAAACATGAATAAATATTAAAATACTTGATATTATATTTATAATGGAATTGATTTTTCAATAATTTATATATAATTAGCAATCTTATTCAATAATTAGCATTGTAATTTTACGGAGAAATTATAAAAGATTTAATCTTATTATTTTATTACAATAATCTTAATGTATAGTTTTTTTTTTAAAAGCATATATTTTTTATATTCGTATTTTTTAAGTTTTGATTCCCTCATTTGTATAAATGAAAATGGTTTGTTCTAAAAAAAATATGTCTCATAAAAATGGCCTATATATTAAGTATTTATAAAGAAAATTATAATGATCCATACATTTTTTTAATAAGTATAGAAATTTACAGTAAAAATATAAAATCGAATATTGAAAATTTTACACAAAATTTTTTTAACTTCAGGAGTCATTTACATATAAAAGATAAGTTATTGGAAATTTTTTATTTATTTTTAACTAATTATAATTAGTTTTTTGTGTGGTTGATAAAAATTGTTTCACAAATGATTATTTTTAATCGTCTTATATAATAAAAAACATACATACCCAAAAATTCTCTCGTACAAACACGTATATGTAACTAATGTTAAACAATATTTAAGGAATAACAAATTTTGAAAAATTGTTTCTTGTGAATTTATATTTGTGTTATGTTCTACTAACTCAAAGATTATTATTATTAATGCTTAAATTTAGAGAAAAGTAATTTTAAGGGGAGTTGTATTTTTAAATCAAGTAAAACAAAAATAATTAGTTTTTAAAATGTTAATAATTTTCGAATTAATGGTTCAAAAGTTGTTTTCAACTAGCCATCTCCTTAATTTTATCATTTAAATTTTTTATAACCTAGTTAGATATGTATGAGTTATTTAAAAATATAAAATTGACATCCTTGTAAGTCATAAGGAATGAATTGATAAAGAAAATAAAGTTGTAAATAAATAAATCAAGAAATATAAGTTACTCGAAAAAACCAAATCATTTTTTTCAATACCGTTTTTATTTTGTGAGTAATTGAGGGGTATATTATAAACGCATAACTTGTATAATATATATTCTCTGTATCAAATATCTAGGTGATCGAAATATTTTATACGTTTCACCAACAATAATATTGAAATCGAGTTTTTTAGGAAATCTTTTTTTAGAATTCTCTGCAAAACTATATCAACAGATTATGTTACTTAAAAGTATATTTTTGTAATAAACTACACAATATTCATTTTATACTACATCAAATAAGGAAGAAAAAAATGTCAGGAGAGTAAACGACAAAATATTCAGGATGTTTCTAAATTTAACTAAATCAATTTATTTTAATATTTCGAAGATCTGGACCATTTTTTACAGTTAAACGGCTTATACAAAAACATTTTGATAGAAAAATCATTGTTTTTTACAGAAATAGTTTGGTAGCGTTAACACATAATATATTTAGTAGGTTTCTATTGTTCTCATTGTTTGTAACAATTAACTTGTATAACTAAAATTAACCAAATATAAATAATAAAACTATATATTTATTTAAACACGTTATAGTTTCCAAATCGTTTATTTTAGTCATTCATATATGAAATATTTTATTGTTTTTTATCAATTTGTTGAATCAAAAATATTTTTTTAAAAAAGCACCGTTCTAATATACATGTATAAGTCACAATATTACATTGTAGCATTGCTTACATTAACAAAAATAGAAATTTCAATACCTCTATAATAACATTAGAATTGTCAAGAATATACCTGCACAGCATTACGTATTACACATAATACTGAATATTAAGTTACATTGGACATATTTAAAGAAAAAATAAGTTCATCCAATAAGAAGGATATGAAACCCAATATATTATAAAGAAAAGTAGGTATGTGTCATTGAGAGCAAAATAAAATTAGGAAACGTCTATACAGAAGATAGATGAGAGAAAAATGTTCAAAATTAGTTCATCTAAAATATAAGAAACAATATAACGTAATATATTTAGTAGTAATATATTTATTACTACTATAATAAATACTTTAAAATATTAGTTTGAAAACGTTATAAATAATTTTACAAGTTCGATTTTTTTCGTATAAAAAAAAGTTATATTCAATATTGTCAAGTAATGATGTTTTTAGACAGTTATTTTAAAACAATAAACACAATAAATTTGTAACTACTTCAGTTTAACAAATCATACCTAAATATTTATCCAGAGAAAACTGTATACATTATGCAGCTCATATATTTTGGATATTTGAATACATAAAAAGGAAAAAAACATTCAGACTTCTTTAATGTACTCAACAAATAGCCACTTAATCGTTTTTTATATGAGATGAGTGACTGATTTTGTATATAAAAAAAGTATATTCATAGTTGTATAACAAAATTAAAATAGAAACTATCTGTTGTTAATTTATACAAAATATTATTTACATATCGTAAGATTAAATTATGCATGTTAAACTCATAAAGGTTTTAATAACACCCAAGGGAAAATAATTGACAAGGGGCAATAGACCCTACACTTTAACAGTACGTTTAGTCTATGTTGTCAAACATAATATTTAATAACATATTGGGTTATTATACTGTTACTGTGCGTGTACAAGATAAAAAATAAATGAGTAGGGAGTCAGTTTAATTTAATAAAAAAAACGGAAATAAGAAAATAAAATTATTATAAGTACATTGGTATTATATTATGTTATTTCTTCAGAATGGTTTTTAAAACATTTAATAGAGATTATGTTTCAATAAAAATAGTTAAAGTAATTTTTTTTTATGTTATTTAATTTCGATTACAACAAAAATCGAAGTATTGTGTGTGATAAAAACGCTCCACATTATCCAAATTAACAAAATAGTAAAAAAAAACTGTTAACAATAATTTTATTTAATAAATAGAAAAATATGCTCCGCAATACTTGGAAAATATACATACAATAGATTGTGTTTGTAAAAGTTAAAAAAAATCTAATTGCAATATAATCAAAAGCGTAAATAATATGACTATTAATTGTATTTTTTTATACCTTGTATTTCTAGGGTGGAAGTATGCCAAATACCAGTAGCAGTGTACCGTATCTTCTTAGTTCAAGTATGAATAGCATTCGTTCGAGAAGACAAAGCACATGTTCGCAGGGTTCAGGCACTGGTATTTTACAACAATTAGGTTCTGGTGTAGTAAAACAACTTTCAACGTTACAGAACCCAGTATGTATTATTAATAAAAAATAATTAATTATGGATTATTTATTTGTTAATAATTAATAAGTTAGATTCGGGTAATAAGTATTAGCTTGTATAAGACCTAATACATGCTAGGCTTTATTACCTGCACCTAATTTAAATATTTAGTCCTTGTTCATCATAATACTATTATATTACAGTATCAATTTTTCGGTGGAAATAAATGAAATTGATAGAATTCCAGGAAATATGTTTTCCTTAACAAAGAACTTAACGTTAATTATACTGTTGTCTTTACCAATTTTCACAAGAAAACGGTATTATTCTCTTTTTGCCAGAGTTAGCGGAATCAAAACATATTTGAAGTTATCGTGATCATTAATTATTTATTATAAGGAATTATAATAATTTAAATAATAAAAAGGTGAGTAGTTCTAGTAATTTTCAAGTACTGCTGTAAGAATGGGAATTTATTTTTATGTATAATTATAAATATTTATATTATATTGTATTTTTAATGATTTCAAAACAATGAACCCTTTGAACCATAAATGTCTTTATTTATTTTTATTATCGTCTATAGACAACTCGTCTATAGTATAATCAAGTAAAATATTTATAATAAATAGAATTCTTATTGGAACATCATTTAAATTTTAGTCGGGTGACTTTTTTAAATACTTTGAATAAATTAATTTAATTTTTTTTTTGATAAAATGTAAATAATTATTGATCATTTTATATTTTATTGAAATGACGTCTACATATCTAAACAGACATAATATTTGAAGTGTTTCTAGTCAAGGACAAAAACTTAATCCAAAAAAATCATATTATAATCAAAGCCTCTTAGAAATAATTAATTAATATCAAATCATAATTAAAAGACTGAAATATTATTTAACTCCCAAATATAAACGAAACCTAAATTTGATATAAATAAAAAACACTAATGCAATCGAAAACAATAAAAAAGACTTCTTATAACTGAAACCACAATATTTTTTTGGCTTTTCCTTGATTATGAACATCTTTGTTTTTCTTGTTCATTTTTTTACTAATAAAACTAAAATTAGAAGGTTCGTAAAAGACTTTTGTTTTTAAAGAGTTCAGAAAAATGATTTTTATCATATAATTTAATAAATTTATTATGTATTCATGTAATTTTTAATTTTTTTTTACTCTTCTTTATCTATTAAGAAATTCTATTTTCATTGTCTTTAACTAATTATTAATTTATTCGTCATTTAATTTGTGTACTTATTAAAACTGTATGTATTGTATAAGTAAATCAAAATAATTATGTATACAGGGTATCTTGAAATGAAATAAATATATTTTAGGTATTGATCCTGAGGTCGAAATTAAACAAAAGTTATTTGCCACAAACCTTTAAGTCTAACAAAATACTAAAGGTTTAAATAATGAATGTGGCACAGTCACAGTAGAAATTTCGTTCCATTAATAATATTAAGGTGTTATTTTGATATTTTAACCAAATTTAACGATATAACATTCATGTTTGTCTTTGAACATCAAAAACATGATAGAAACAGGCCCGAAATAAGGGTGGCGAACATTCCAAGGCCCGCGAGCTTAAGGGGCCTATCTCAAATTTTATTATCATGTCATTATTAGTGGAATACAATTGTTTTGGTTATTTTTTGCTCGTTTTTTTTTTCATTTTCCATATGGGGAAACTCCCATTGTTATCCATCTTGATATAACACACCGGGGCCCATATAGTCTTAATCTGACTCTGAATAGAAAATTTTTCTTTTCGACCTTAAGAAGCATATCAAAATATTTATGTTCATTTTAGAACACCCTGTATGTTTATATATGTATACTAGTTAATAATGTTAGCTATTGAATAGTACCTATACCAAACATATCTTTAATTGTTTTTGTTTGTGTCATTTTCAGTAATTTTGCTCAACTTGTGATTCGTTAAACGTTATAATTGTAAAATAATGTTAAATATTTTAATAATAATTTACCAGTAGCTAACATAGTCGTAAGAAAATGCAAATAGTCATATGTGGTATTGTTTTATTAAACTTAATACAAGTTGTAAGCTCTTAAAAACATTAAGTCTTAAAATAGTTAAAAATATTTTATCATGTATATTGTACAGAAAAACGTTTGTAGAAAAATTCTTGAATTTACAAGTGTTGGAATTTTACTTTAAGAGAAATACAATTTTCATAAATGAAGAATGTTATTAGTAATATGCGCCTAAATCAATGAGGCCAACCTAGATGACAAATTTAGATTATACCTTTATAACAAACCCTTTTAAACTCGAGTTAATTTTCTAAAATTTACATCAATATAAGATAAAATTTATTCGTGAATTTTTAAATTCATTAACTTTATTTTTGTGATTTACTCGCAAGGAAAACTACCTTTGGCAATTTGAGAGACTTGAGCAATACCGTTTATGACCATTTATATTACTATGTAATGTACTAATGTCAACTATAATCAACTATAATGTAATATTGTAATATTGTAGATATTTTATTGTTACTTACGCGTATTTACTTTAGAACTGACTAAGACAATCGCTGTTTATTCTAAATTTCATCTATCTTATAATATTTATAATTATTGTCATGATAAAAAGACAATCCAATTCTGTTTGAAGTATATATTTTTTTTTATATTAATTATTTATAAGGGTGTACCATCAATTATTTTGCCTACCTGATATCCACTTTATTTAATCTATAGGTCAAGAATTAATTAACTCATTGAAATGTTTAAAAAAATTATCTTGTGTCTACATTAATTTGTGATGTATAATTAGAATATATTTAATATGTTAAAATGAGTTAACTATATATATTTCAAATTTAAAAAAAAAATTACCATTTTGAAAATGTTTAATTTTATTATTAAACTTACAATTTAAGAACAAAGCATTTTCTATATTATCCAGTAATGTATCTACATAAGGGACTACCTGAAGTAGCTGCTCCAGGGCACAAGGAAAAGAACTCTCCCAAGTCTTTAGGTGCCTCATTAACCCAATTAAACTCGGATAAACATGTATATAATATTATTTATAATTTATGTTTTTGTGTTTATGTATGTTCTAAGTTTTTGAAGTCAAATTTTTTTTTACTAGACACAAAATTTTACAGAAGCATCAAATGCAAATTGTCCCAGGGCGCTTAAACATAAATGTTAACGTTCGCAAACCAAATTTAAAAATTACAGTTTAAACCATCATCCAATATTGATTCCTTCATCTTATTTTTGTTGATGATTTTAAAGTACTGGGTCTTTTTTTTATGTCAGACGACCACATAATTATTTTCCCTATTGGCATGTTGTGGGTAAATTACCCGTGATATTCAAGTTCGAATGGCATACCCCTCAGTGATAAATTTACTGGGTATACTAGCGCTTTGCCCTTGAAATATTCAGTCACGAGTAATTTAATTTGTTTAGGTATAGTAAAATTAGTTACAAACATCGTAAAGCAAAATGTTTCTTCTAATTCTTTTATTTACATAAACACAAATATGGGAGATCATAGGTGTTTTTTTTTTTTAAGGGTAAAAAATACGAATACAAACTTTTTTCTAAAAATAGCTATAATTATACTGTCACAAAAAAGTTGTTGACAATTTTAAAGTTAACGACTTTTTAATCATCAACTGATTTTTACTAAGAAGACTTGAGTTTTAGAAGAAGTACGCATTTTGTACACTTTCTCAACAAATTTGCATTTGGCTTGGATACGTTTATTTTTTAGAAAAGCTAACATTAAATTACAAACTTTAAAATGTATTATTTAAAAATTTATTTTATTTTAAACGAACTACTTATAAGTAGGCTATTGCTCAGTTGATAACAGATGCCTCAATGCGTAAACAAGGTCGCATTTAGAAGGATACTGTAAGCGATTACTCTGAGCGGCACTAAAATAAAAAGCTATATAAATTATCGTTAAAAAAAATTCTTTTTTTGCTCATTCAGATTAAAAAACCCAGCACAAAACCCATCGTGGCATAGTTGTGTCCAGAATAGATTTAATCTGACGGTGATTAAAATCATTATCATACAAAACGCTACAATGCAAATCTGTAGATAGTTTTTAAATTTTAATTGTTGTATTATTCCAAAAGCAACATGATCTCCTATTTCTTTATTTTTATTCTGATTACAATTTTTATGATTTATAAGTATAATATATGAATAAATATTTATTGTAGCATTTAAATATAGTATGAAATAGATATTTAATAATTTAGAATTGTAATTTTTACGGAGAAAAAATAAAAATTATAAAGTAGTTATTACTTTTATGGGAAACGTATATAAAAGTTGAAGGTCTTGATGCAATACTAAAGAAAAATTGTTTGTTATTTATAAATAAATTTACTGGTCTACAAGGAATTTTCATGAAAAACCAAAATATATTATTCGAAATCCATTGTTGCCCCGATTTCGAATCTGAAATTAGAGTTTTGCTCATGGCCTAAATAATAACACAATCATTCTAATTAATATAACAAATATACATATTTGGTTATTAGGTTATGTATGAATAATCAACATATATTTTTATGTTAAACATATATACATATAACATATATTATACAACATATATTTTTGTTAAAAATAAGTTAAAAAAGTTCTACTTTCTACTTTTAAGTGTTGAACCACACATGTATAAAGGAAAATAGAATAACGAAATCACAGAATTTCTATGTTAAAAATTGAATGTTATTATTAGTTTCTACTGTCATTATCGTGATAATAATATAATTAATATTGTAGAACAGTAAAGCTTGAATCATCTAAGCTCACAGTTGTGCTCCTTGTCAATTTCTAGTAATACAAAGTCATCTTTACGAGAAACAATTCACCCGGTTTTTCGCACTCAATTATATCGGTTTCTATTTACCAACCTAAATATTTAAATTTTTAGTGTAAATTAAGCTCTAGTAGCTTAAAACACTGTAAATAGTACTCCTTAATGTTAATATTTTTTTTTTTTGCTATGAGGTGAATTTTATAATACAATTATCATAAATTCTATATGTTAGTGATATTCATATATTACCTAATTATTATTATCAATAAAATATTTTTTGAAAAAAAGAAATATGATGTTTTTTAATAATGTTCAATATGAATCAACGGTGGATATAGCAAGGTAATATAAGAAGCGCGTTCTTAGTGAACAAATTCTGAATTAACCTGTTTAATAAATATATGTGTCATCATATTCGATTTTTTTTAGTTCTAATGAAGGATTTATTTTAACCCATTAGCAGGCGCGTGCCTATTTTTAACGTTCATAGTCGCGTGGGGGTCTATCAGACCCCATTTCTAAAAAAGTATAAAATATGTATAAAAAAGTTCATTTTAACATGTATTTTATTGCTGACACGGCCCGTAATAGCGCACTATTCATTTACCGTGAATTAGCACGTTATCCGGTCGTGATTATCGGCTGTCCACCGTCGCACTCATTGGTGTTGACGATAACACAAGTTTGTCTTATCCGGCGGTCGGTAGATAGGACAGGTCAAGGGGTTCAGCACCGCGAGACACGTCGGCGACTATGTAAACCAGTTCATCGGTGACTTACATCCGCCGTACGTGCCGTGTGATTTTTCACCAGCGCCTTATTGTGTTTTATTCGCACCTTGCTGTTCACCAGTTTTTATGATATTATTATAACTTAAAATAAAATAAATCGACTCCATAACAGTGTTACGTTTATTATTATTAAACTTTAAAATACCGTGTCCATTGCATTTCTATGGCATTTCAATTTTTTTCTTTGCATTTTGATAGCTTCTAATTATTTTTCATTTTTACATTTCTATGGTTTCTCACTTTTTTTGTATTTTTATAGCTTCTCATTTTTAATTTTTATGGCTTCTCAATTTTTTTCTTTGAATTTTTATGGCTTCTCAGATTTTTTCTTTGCATTTTTGTGGCTTCTCAATTTTTTTCATATTTACATTTCTATGGCTTCTCATTTTTTGCACTTTTATAGATTCTAATTTTTAATTTTTATGGCTTCTTTTTTTACATTTCAATAACTTTTCAATTTCTAAATGATTAAGGGTAGATGTATAATATTTAAAAAAAATCCTACTCATAAATGCTTTATTATGAAAAAAAAATCAGTCATCAAATTAAAAGTATTCGCAATTTTTAAAAAAATTATTTTATTTTCAATTAAGCAAATAATTTAAGAAGCATTATTATTTGAGCGAAATTTAAATGCAAAGAAATTGTAAAATTACACATAAAAATTACAATATAATTTATTCACATCAAACCGTTTTTTTTTTTTATAGTGATGTTAAATATAATCTAAACTCGTCCCTTCTATGCCGCGTCTCGCTATGGTGCAACTCTCCTGTGCTAGGTTTTTTTATCTGCTTTTATAGCTTAAAATGAACCATAGAAAAGTAATAACAAAATAGCGAGTTTATTATTATTTAAGGTATTTTTTAAATGAGAGATTATTTTTAAAACCAAATTTTGAGTGTTTAAAATAATATTTAAATTAATATCTATAATACCTACCTTGAAAAAAAATGTTTAATAATAACTGATATTTTTTTAATTAACCCTTATAAAAAAAGGTTCAAGTTAAAACATACGTATAAAGAGTAGATCTTTTTCAACATAAAATTGATATGACATACTATAAGTTAAAAATAATAATTAGTCCCACGGAAAAATCGGATCTGTCAGTTACTACTCTAGTTTTCACCTGAATGACAACCCTGATTTATTATATAAATTAATATTATATAACAAAAATAATGAATTATATAATAAATAATGACTTTGTTGGCTGATATTTTATAATATGCACTAGTTTTATTTCTCTATCCANTTTTATAATATGCACTAGTTTTATTTGTAAATTAAAATTATGAAAATTTGGAATTCTCTATCCATTTGATTTTGCCTTTAAGTTTAATTTTTCGGTATTATTCAAAATAATATGCATTTAACAAACAAATATTATTAGTTAGAAAAATGTTTGGCGTCACCTACACTTACCGGCAACGATAACCAACTTTTAGCGTAGTCCTTCCGTGAGATGAATCTAAACACCCAAAGTAAAAGGACTCTAGCTTAATTTTAACTTATATAAACCCATCAGATTGAAAAGTACAAAGACCTTTCGAATCCGTCACATGAGACCGCTTAATTATATTTTAATTAGAAATCGGTGTAAATGAAAAAATAATCATGGTCGTATTTATGATTCTGCCATGGGGCGGTTACATAAATTTTGACTACTTTAAATTTTTTGGCGATTTAAATTATAAATTATAAAAGAATGAATGATTTTGATTGTCTATATGGAGAAATTTATTTGGTAAAGAAATTTTTATTAAATAAAGGAGAAATATTTTTTAATTTTTAAAGGTAATATCATTAATTAGATACTATCTATTGGTTAAGTGAAAGCTGAAAAAAATGAATGATAGACACAAAAAAAAACATAGTAAAAAATTAGTAATACGAGTAAGAATATCCTTCTCACAAGAAGAGACTCTAAAAATGGGGTCTGTGATATTCATTGAAATTATTTAATCTAATAGAAAAAAACAAACGAATTTTAAATTGTTTTCTTCGTTAAAAAGAATTTAGAAAAAAACACAAAAAACTCGTTTACAGCGATTATTATAGTTTACTAGCTACAAGGACAATTTATACTTAATTACAAAATTCAAATATGTAATAATATTTAATATATGATTAAATTTAATATATGTTTAAAGGCCACAGTATTTTCCGAACATTATTAAAAGTTATGTTGCAATTGTTGCTATTTTGAATCACCTCTATGGGCAGGTATAGAGTTTAATTTTTATAAAACGTGTACCAAATGAAAGATAAACACCTAAGGTAATTATATAAAAAAAAATAATTTGTTTGATTTATTTATAAAAAGAATTATGAAACCTTTAAGAAAAAATGTTTAAAAAGTCGAAATTTATAGATATTTAAAATTATGGAGTATTTGCTTTAATTTCTCAAAAAGTATTTTATATAATTTATTTTAGTATGAACTTGACTCCTAGCTCAAGTTCATACAACAACCATTATGTAGAATAGTAAGTTTATGATAGTAACACGAATCCTTGTCTGCAGCTGATTAAAAAAAAGATATGTATGGGGAGTCGGACTGTTATAACACAAGTTCCATGAGAGCAAATCTTAGTGCTACCTCTGATATATAGACTTTTTGTGAAAATGACATAAAAATTTTGCAAACAATACATTTATAGTAATTATTTAAATAGAAATTTTTATTTAATATTTTTTTCTCAGTGCTTTAGTTTATAATTGTTATTTATTTATATTTCAAACAAATATATTACTTTAATTTTTAAAGAAACTATCTATAATTTCATTCTTTATATGATTTTTTTGTATTTATAATTATTTTTTTAAAATAATTTTCATAGTAAAAACATAATTTTTTCAATATTATATGTGTGTTATAATTTTGTGTCTCTATTACACAATTTTTATTTTATGATTGTTATTTATTTTTAACTATTATATTTGTTTTCTCACAATTGTAAAAATCAATGTTAACGTGTCTTAATAAATAATTTGTATTGTAAAACAGTTTTATTAATTCGAAAAATGAATATGCAATTAAAATTAGTTTTATAATATTAGTTCTATATAATAAAAAATGCCTCAAATTATGTAAAAAAAATTTGTTTATTTCTATTTCATGTATGTTGCTGACTAAAACAAGGAAATTTCGTAGTTTTTTACTTGACAATAAGGAATTTTAAAGTTTTTATATTTTTGAATATAAAATGAAAAAGAAATTGTTTTTTAAATTAATAATACTAAATATTCCTAATTCGAACAACTAAAAAATGAATTGAAAAATATTAACTGTTATATGTATTGTGTATGAAAAAGAAAACTTACTTCATTTCAATCAGTACTTTAGTTATGTGTTACGTTTGGAGCAATATTTCGGCCCAATTCGAAGATCGTTCGACCGCCACCTTTGTATTCACTACATATATTTTTCTCCAAACTGTATGCTTTATGATTTTTGTACGACGGTCCTCCCCACGGAGGCAAAGTTACAATGACTTCAGCCTTGTATTTCTTTAAGTCTTTAGCTAAAGTGAAAAAATCACCCTCGATGTATTCGATCTTACCCCTCACATCGTAAATTTCCGCATTCTTCTTGGCAAATTCCAATTTTTTCGTGACAATGTCTATCATGATCACTTTTTTATATTTCATTGCTTACTGAATTGCGTTACCTTCAGCGCCATAAAACGGGTCCATTGCTACATTGTATCCCACACACTTCTTGACAATATGCTTGTTCAAAATTTCAGGGCACATGGAATAAAATGATTCCAATTAATAGTTAACATTAAAAAATAAATATTACTAGAGTATTAATAAATTACCATAGTCCAAGAAAATTCTGTCATCAAATTTTTTAAACAAATGTGTCTTTTTTTCCATAAGTGCTTTAGATTATCATTAGAGCTAGTTTTATTGGAGCTATTACTGTCCAAGTACTGTTTAATTTGCGAAACGTTACTGGTAAATAATCTGATGTATGTGATTCAATTGATTCAATTGAGTGACTTATTTAAGTCAAAATGTTATTCTCACTCACATCTGTAGTGCTTTGGAGCTGGTAGAGGGTGACATCGTCGGTAAAGTCATTTTTTGGTAGATGGAGGTGTGTTATATTCAAAGAAGCACTGTTTAGGTTCGTTTCAATGGAACTGTCGGATGTATTATTCTCAAAAATGTTTTCTTCGATTTCGACAGTAATAATTTGTGTGGATGTCTCTATTAACTTTTGATCTGATAAAATATTAGTATAACAGGTGTAATATTGATGTCTGTTGTCGAAATTGATATAGTAATTGGTCTAGTTTTCGACTTTATAGTTTTGTTCTGCTGAGAAAGTTCATCGTCAAAAAATATAAGAAATATTAAAACTAAAATACCACTAAAAGCAAGATCTTGAACAATTGAAATAGAAACAAAAAAATAAACAAGCACTATAGACGAAAAAATAGAAAAAGTGGCCATCATTTTAATGAAATTCATCCGATAAAAAAAATGAAAGTTAAGAAATAAAAATTTTAACGATATGAAAAATATAACATAGTAATCTTACGAAAAAAATTGTACGTCGTAATCACAATGTAAAAATACACGTGGAAGTTCAAAATGAACTGAATTAAAATATTATTTTATTTCTTAAATAAACAAACATTGTTTCTCGGTTAAAATTATTCAAGCCAGTCATTGTAACTAATCATTTTTTTTTTAAATCTGATCTATAAACAAAATATTTAGAGTTTTAAATATTATATAAAAGTGAATGCATAACTTAATATCAAGGCAGTGTTTTAATTAAATAACTAATATTAAATAATTTGTTGTTAATTATGAATAAATGGTCTACAATCTCATCAGAGTCGAAAATCTACTTTTCTTAACTCATTTTTCGCGATAAGAAAAATCTGCAATTAGATTTTTTTCCATCTACGCTAATTTTTTATATAATTAATAATTAGTTAAAAACGAAAATTAATTTATAATTATTAATATAAATTTATTAATTTAATTATTTATTAAACTAAAATTTATGACCGTGACTTTTAGCTCAATTTGCAAGTTTAAAATTAACTTCATTAAATAGAAAATTTTATGACAATTAAAAAAATGATATTGTTAAAATTACTATATAATCAGGAAATTTTATAATTACTATTTATAGTAAATTTATCAGTAAAGCTCAATATTTGTTTTCATTTTTATCGTAATAAATCACTTGAATAGAAATCATAGTAATAATTTCTAAGTAATTTTTGGTGTTTAAAAAGATTCTACAATTAAAATTTTCAGAACTTGATTTACTTTAACTAAAAAAACCAATAAAAAAGTTGTTAAAAATATCTAATCAATAGAGCGTATTATAAAATTTGATTGTAATTTTGTAAAAAACCCTTATTAAATTTTGGTGAAACTAAAAAATCTTTTTTTTTGAAAGTTTTTATACAGCAATATTACAAATTTGGAATATTATAGACTAGTTGTTGCATGCACAAATAGATTTTAAAAATTAATAAATAACAAAGTAAAATTATTTAAATTTGTAGTTGAAACCTATTATCAAATCAAACTTTTTGAAAATAAATACTTTAAAAATTAGAAATGAATCATTTTCATTGTATATAATTCCGGTGCCGATAAGCGTAGGTGACGCCAAATATTTTTGAAAAAGATCTACTTTTTGTATGTTTTAACTTGAACCCTTCTGTATAAGGGTTAATTAAAAAAATATCAGTTATAATTAAAAAAAAATTTTTGTAGATATTAATTTTTACAATATTATTTTAAACACTCAAGATTTGGTTTTAAAAATTCTTTCTTATCAAAAAAATACTTTAAATATTAATTAACTCACTATTTTGTAATTACTTTCTATGATTCATTTTAAGCAATACAAGCAGTTAAAATAACCTAGCACAGAAGAGTTGCATTTTTCTGAGCGAATTATTATTATTTTTAGTCTTTAAACATTAAGAAATTGAAAAGCTATAGAAATGTAAAATTAAGAAGCCATAAAAATTTTAAAAAATGAGAAACTATAAAAATACAAAAATTGAGAAACCACAAAAATGCAAAGAAAAAAAATTGAGAAGCCACAAAAATGTAAAATTGAGAAACCATAGAAATGTAAAAATGAGAAGCCATAAAAATTAAAAATAAGAAGCTATAAAAATGAAAAATAATTAGAAGCCACAAAAATGCAAAAATGAGAAGCCATAGAAATGTAGAAATGAGAAGCCATAAAAATACAAAAATTGAGAAACCACAAAAATGCAAAGAAAAAAAATTGAGAAGCCACAAAAATGTAAAATTGAGAAACCATAGAAATGTAAAAATGAGAAGCCATAAAAATTAAAAATAAGAAGCTATAAAAATGAAAAATAATTAGAAGCCACAAAAATGCAAAAATGAGAAGCCATAGAAATGTAGAAATGAGAAGCCATAAAAATACAAAAATTGAGAAACCACAAAAATGCAAAGAAAAAAAATTGAGAAGCCACAAAAATGTAAAATTGAGAAACCATAGAAATGTAAAAATGAGAAGCCATAAAAATTAAAAATAAGAAGCTATAAAAATGAAAAATAATTAGAAGCCATAAAAATGAAAAATAATTAGAAGCCATAAAAATGCAAAAAGATTTAGAAGTCATAGAAAGGCAATAAAATAGATGCCATTTAAATTTAATAATGATTTGGCGTATCATTAAAAGAAATCGTTTCCGTGAGGGCTGAGAAAAAGTGGTAACAGACACACAAAAAAAAATACATTTTAGTAAAATTAATACTTACTCAGATTCGCATCGAAGTTTAAAAATTAAGGAAAAATTTTTTTGTGAGCAAAATAAATTGGTCATATTTATTACTCAATAGGTAGTAGTATAATTCCTAAATGCGGCCCTATACGTAGGTACAGATGTTCCATTCTGTTGCGCTGAACTACATAGATATTCCCATTTTTTCTTATTCAAGCAATATCTTTTAAGAGAAGTGTTAAACAAACACACAAATAAATAAACTATTTACTTATATTTTCATGCTATTATATTATATATTATTATTACAATAATATACCTAACTTAAAAAGAGGGAGAGAAGAGCAAAAAAAGGTGAGAATATGTCTAATTTTATTTTAGTACATAAAAACATATTTTTAATTGTAAATTAATTAGATATACAAAAATTTATAAATTCAAAGTTGTCTATATAGTCTTCTTCGGTAACAATAATATATCACAAAATTTATAATCATTTTTACTATTATTGAAAACAAAATGTTTAATGTTATTTAACATTCTAAATTATACTAATCTAAATAAGTATAATTATATTTATTTTTTAATAACAGGTTAAATAAATATTTTTTACAACATACTTTCATGAATTTATTTATATTACTTAATTTTTGACAATTAGTCTTATTACAAATCATGAGTTCTCACAAAACTAACAATTATATATAATATATATTTTGATGTTACAATGTTAAATATTTAAAAAGTAAAATCGAGATCATTGGAACTTTCAATTGCAAATTATTAATCAAACAATCAAGATATATTTCTTATTTTGTTTAAATAATAAAGCCATTTGGTAGTTGTAAAAAAAAAAAATTGGAACTTAATAGCAATCTAATAGATCAGCTCCTTCAATAAAAATATTGTGTGATTGTCCAATTACATCATCCAACATTGAATTTAATCCACTTCTTGTATCAATAAGCCATTGTTTCTTAGTATTATAATTATCAAAATCATAAGCACTTATGAAATCAAAAAATTGATTAGGTGAGATGTAATCGTCAGTTTTTAACCTTAGGGAAAATTCTTGAGGATATATATTTCCATTACTTGAGTTTTTAAGGATTGGCAATAATTCATTGTCACATGAACATGAAATAGAATTTAAAACTCTATCAGATGAGTCAAACTGTCTTACTTTTTTTACTTTATTGAAGTACAAACTATTGGTCTTATGGTCTTCTTGATTATGTTGTATACTATTATTATAAATAGGCTGTTTTGTATTAGATATAAAAATAGATGAGTTTAGTAATTTTTTTGATATACATATAGCACTTTTTTGAACTTCCAAATCACATTCATCATTTAATGCTGTGTGAAGTACCTAAAAAAATAAGAAACATAATTGATATTATCATAATTGATGATAAGAGTTCATATTAACCAAAAATTACTCATAAAATTATTTATGCATAAATTAATGATGTTATGAACCCTTATTTTTGTCAAATTAAACCTGATCCTAACTTAAACTTATAAACTCAAACTGAACTGAACTTTTAGTTTTTCAGTCAAACTTGAACCGAACTAAACATCAATTTTAATCATTTACAGGCAAAACATTTTTCACATTATATTTCAACAAATTCAGCTTGATATTTGATTGTAGAAGTTTGGTTCGAATATTACTAATATAAACAATAAATAATAATTCCTTACATGTAAACAACCAACTTCACCAAGTTTGATAAAATCGTATAATTCATTTGAATTTTCTGAATATGAAGTTTCTTTAGTTAACTTACAAACTACACAACTCCAAAAATCATATGTAAATTTTTTTACTTCCCAAAGAGGATCTTTAATACTAACATGTACCATGACTACACATATTTCATTGAAAACTGACTCACTGTAAGATAAGAACATAATTATTTTTTATTATTTTAATTGATAAATAATTAATTATTATATGTATGTAAAAAAAATTTTAAGCATAAAATTATTAAAGATCACTGAAATAAACTTAATGATATTCTAATTTTTATTTATTTTTTTTTTTTAATAATACCTTAGATAATTAAAATTGTAAAAAGTTGTAATGAGTTTTACTGCTTGACGTCGTATAACTCCTTCAGGTTCCCATTGCATTGTGTCCAAACAAAACTCCTAAAATAACAACTGATTTTAAATATACATACATTTATTTGGAATTATTAAAATAATTTAAAAAAAAATTATCAACCAAAAAATGAATGAGAAAAATATCCTATTTATATAAAACATAATTGTTAATTGTTACAAACAATAAGAACAATAGAAACCCGTTTCCTTACTTACTAAACACTATATATTTAGAGAAATAATTGCCAAATACTGAAATACAAGCAATTTTCACAAAATATAACTTTTATTTAGTTTTCCAGCTTTTATAAAAACTACCACAGTACAATAAATTTAGAAAAACTTTTGTTTTAATAAATTACAAATTCTACAAAAAATTTTTTTTTGAAAAATAAAAATTTATTTAAACTTAGAGTTTAGAGCGTACCCGTTAATTATGACATATAAAGCTAAAATTTTACGGAATAAAATTTTCAAGGGCCCTTCTCAAATTCTGAAAAAAAAATCTTCATATATAAATAATGGGCAACCTATGAAAAATTACAAATAATTATTAAAGTTGAAATGAAATAAATTCAGCCTTTGTAACATATTTTTACTCAATGTAATGAAAATGTAAGATTTTATTGCAACATTATATCTTCTTTTTCCACTCCTTTATCCCAACTATTTAAGGTTGGTCATCCTTATCCTGAACTTCCACTTGACACTATCTCCCACAGCATCTATACACACATCAGCCGTCTTTATATCACATTTAATAACATCCCTTCATCTCTTTTTTGGTCTTCCTCTACCTCTTCTCCCATCAACATTTATTTCTAAAACTGATCTTATAGCTTTTGATTCCTCTCTTCTCATAACATGATCTATCTAACTCTCTAAGTTTATTTTTTCTCATCTTATCCGTGATTGACGTTACATCTATACTCTCTTTTATATGTTCGTTCCTTATCCTATCTTCTCTAGTCACTCCACTCATCCATCTAAATATTCTTATATTCGCTACACTGTTATAATATTATATAATAATAATAAATAATTTCTTACTAGTAGATCTGTTTTATTTAATAGCATTGTACCAACTTCACTTATAGCAACCATATTTGATAGACATTCAATGGCTTTAGCTTTTACAAATGAATCATTATCATGCTTAGCAGTATTATACACAGCTACTGGCAACTGGTTTTCAAGGATAAATGAAACTAAATAATAATTTGTGCAGAAATTAAATTAAATAACAACATTTGTTTAGCAATTTAATAACATATTTTTAACAAAATAACAAATATTTTTATTATTATTCACCTGTGTCATATTTAGCAGAAACCTGTTTGATATTTGATAAACATTCTAAACAGCTGTCTCGAATTTCTGATCTTCTATCCAATAATAATATGCTTAAAGTTTTAAAAAGATCATTAAAATCATCTAAATTAATAATTGACTCACTATAATTCAATAATTTTAATGTTGTACATGTGAATTTTAAAATATTCTGAAAATTAAAATATTAGTCTACTATATGATTAAAGTTGTGAAAATTTTACACATATTTTACCTGTAATAGAATCAAATCGCGTGACTTCTGTATATATTGATTTTGGCTTTTTATAAAGGTTGAAGGTATTGAAATTATTTTTTGTAAACTTTGGACTTCAAGTAGTTTTGTCCAGCACAGAAATACATAAGGTATTACCTCTAAAATATCTTGATACTTATGTATTTCAGAAAAATTTTGATTTTTTTCAAACCATAAGTTTTTTTGAATTAACAAGTCCATAAAATTTGAAAATAGCTCATTCAAACAATTTAATGTTTCCTAAAGAAAACAATATATTTTTTTTTATAACAATAAAATATTATCTAAATAAAACCTCTACATGAACAATATTATTCTTCTAAAATAAAAACTATGGTCGGATACTGTTTTTAGATTTTCCCAACAATATGATTATTATAAAGAATTTAGTGTACCTGTTTAAGCAAATGTAAAACATCTATTGTATTGAATAGGGCAGATATGGTCATTTCTTTTATAGATTTTGGATCACAAACAAATTCATTACATTTGGTAATATAATTATAATCAATATTGTTTTCAGTATCACATATTTTTTTACTTGTATATTTTATAAATTCTTCAAGGTATCTCAACTGAAAATACATATTATTACTTGCTATTATTTTATAAGAACTCATATTGAGTATTTAAAAATGTAGAAATATACTAAACATTTAATAAATCTCTAAAAATAATTTTATTTTCAAAAAGAATATCATAAATACAAATTGTAAGTTTCAAGTCTCAGAATTTATCTAATATTTCCTGAATTTATTAAAAAGCAAATCAATTTACCTGATCAAATATAAGCTGTTTTTCAAATAAATCAGTTTTGTTGAGTTTCATAATATTCATATATTTTATTGCTTGAATATACCAATTATTAACTTGCTTATAAAATTGAAGATCATTTGGCCAATCCAAATAAACAAAATTAGATTTTAAAATACTTCTAGTATCTAAACTAGGCCATATAGTATAGCAGTCAAACAATAAGTGCAAAGTAATATAACTTTTTGATAAAAATGGAGCTAATTTAATCAGTTTGTTCATTTTGATGAGTATATCTTTAAAAACATAATTTACTATTATAACTTCATAAGCTTTAGGCTGATATTCCGTACCCAAAAAACGTTCCAAAGTAAAAATTAATATTTTAGCATAAAAATTGAAATTATTATACAATTTTATTTCATTTTTTTTTAAAATGTGATCAACATTTTTTAATTCAAAAAATATATGATTAAGAATATTTTTACTACAATTAACAACATCCAATTCAAAAGATTTATATATAAACTCAGAAATATACTGAATATTTTGTAGCTCCATAAATTTTCCCATAACAAAGTTTGCATCGTTGATGAATAAATTCTTTGACCATAAATCTGAAAAAATAAAAAATGTATAACTTTTAAGTATAGATAAATTAATAAATTAACAATTTTTATGTGATAGTTTATTAAGACAACAGGATTTATCATTTATAACACAAATGTTGAAGTACTAAACATGGTTTACACAAAAATAATTAATAAAAGAGCTTTTCATTATGGTAATAGTATATTATTATCTCAGACTAGGAAAATTTTTTATAGTATACTATATACCAAATTTAATACTTACATTCTTCATTTACAAATATAATTCCTTGTTTGTGGATATTTAATATTTTTAATAAAAATATGTAAGAGTTAAAAATTAATGAATCTTTAAGAATATTAGTATTGTTGACTTGTTTAATCATAAGTTGTATTATGTTTGAATGCATCATCATTTCAAAATTATCCTTAGATCTAACTAATATTGCCATATATTTCAAAGCAAATGAATAAAGATTCCTGACAACAAATTCAGATTTGTCTGATTGTTTTTCACAAATATCCAAAACTTTTGAAAGCCAGTTAGTGTGTACAGATAATGCTATTTTTTTCAACACAGTATCTAAAATATTTAGCATTACAACATTAAATATATTATTTATTTTATTATCTTAACTACAAACCATCAACAATTAAACTGCTCAACAATTTTTCTAACAGAGTTTTATCTTGAACAATAAAATTTTCGAGTAACAGACAATCTAAAGCTTTTAAAAGTTTTTCAGAAATATTTTCAGCCATGATTAAAAAAATATATAGAAAAGAATAGAAACTAATATTTATAATAATGTTTAAATTTCACAGGAAAATTGTATAGTGACGATAGATGGTATTTCAAATCTGATAAGAATAATTCCTTACATTTAAATATATATATATATATTTATATATAATATTCTATTTATCTTTTAACAGTACATGATTTAAAGTCTTTGTTAAACAGTTATTATATTTCCGAAGTTAAATCGTTATGAACTAACTCATTACAAATTTAAGACATTAAAAAGATTTTCGAAATAATGGCATTGCGCTTAATGAGATACACTTCCTTTGATATACTATAAGTATATTACTAATAGACCATATTATTACATGATAATGATAATATGATAATAATAGTAATTCCTTGTCAAATGTTTATACCTTGGCGGAATGAGTGAGGCCGAAAAATATTTAGTAATGAAAATAGTAGTCACTACGAGTCCTTACTTAAAATTTTTAATAACTTCTTAAATACTGGTTCAAAAGTTGTTATTGACCAGACATTTTCTTAATTAGATTACTATCTAATAAATAAGCTAGTTAATTATGTATGTTTCTATTCAAAAAAAAAAAAAAAATTAATACCCTTATAAGATATAAGGGAGGACATAAAAATATTTTATGATTGATAAATTAACAAAAGTATTTAAATATAAAAAAACATCAATATTATTTCTAATTTTCGATTTAATAAGTGGTTATTAAATCAAATTTCCGATGACTACAAATGTATATTAATGTTATCAAAATTGTACCCTTTAATTGATATGATATGACATGTCATATTGTGCATTGCACATTTATTTATTCATTTTCATCGTTACGAAACAAACAAGTATGAACTAGAAATTTGTAGGCTATTAATTGAATTGGTTCGATTAATCTTTATTTGTAATTTTTTTTTGACAAAAATAATGTTTAACTAAGTACTTTACCGCTTACAATGTTTATTTTTTTATTACTAACTGTTACAAATTTATTATTTTAATTTTTGGGTGTTCATTTAGTTATAATATTACTTTAAGTATTTAAATTAACATAATATACTAAAAATTGAAAATTTAATACTGTTGCTTGATAAAAATTTGACATTGGTATATAATACATTTATCAATTAGCAAATATTCTAATTTTTTATTATTAAGTATGCCTATTTATTATACTAGATTTTAAACATGACTGCTAAAATACAACCATTTGATCCACCAAGTTCTGCCAGTTCTGATAGGTGAGTATTATTTTTTAAATATTCTATACAGTATAATAATTTAATTAGTGTATTTATTTGAAGGTCAGTGAATGTATATTTTGCATACATATTTTTATTGATGTTTTCCATTTGTAAGGTCATGCTATTAATAATTAACTATTAATTCAGTACATCTCAGAATTCATCTCATAAATATTTGTATAACATTTACTGCAATAAAACTATGTCACATGAATATAATCTTTATTTTTCTCATACATTTTATATGTTAGCTTAAATGTTAATACATAAATTTTATGTTTTAGTGATTTGACTGAGTATAGAGACCTTGTTGGAGAGATTTCTGTTGTTATAGATAATGACGATGAAGAAAGTGACAGCATAATATCATCTAGTATGTCCCCATCTAAGCAATCTACTGGCACACCTCCTTCAGGTATACCTCAAAAATATTAAAAAAAAAATTTTTTTTTATTTAATTTTTTTAATTAATAGTCATGCTTAAGTCTCCTCGAACTTTAAGACAAAGGACAACATCTGTCAGCCAGTCTACAAAAAAAACTGCAACAGAATCTGTTTTACAATCTCAAACACGAACAATTTATACTGCAGGTCGTCCTCCATGGTATAACACTGCAGGACAACAAGTAGAACCATTTGTTATTGGTATGTTTAATTTAAAAATACCTTAGATAATGTATTATTTTTTTTTATGAAAAAGTTGTGTTGACTAAATTAAAGTTTNTTAGATAATGTATTATTTTTTTTTATGAAAAAGTTGTGTTGACTAAATTAAAGTTTCTAATATTAGGTTAACATTAACTTGTAATTATAATTATTTTACATTTTTATTTTGTTTACTTTTATTATTAATTATGCCATAATAATAAATATTTGTATTTTCTAATTTCTAATAATTCAATATTGTTTTAAAATATTGATTTAATATTGTTCACATGGGCTAATAATCATTCTGCATATATAATAATAAAATACACCTGATATTTAGGTGTATGTGGTGGCAGTGCTTCTGGTAAAACTACTGTGGCTAGAAAAATAATAGAATCATTAGATGTACCATGGGTTGTATTGCTTAGCATGGACTCATTTTATAAGGTGCAGTCTTAATACTTGTATTTATAACATGATTATCATTATTTGTTTGGCTATTGTAAACATTCTGTTGAAACAAATCTAATAATATAAACATAATTAGGTATTAACTGAAGAACAACATGAAAAAGCTGCTAGAAATGAGTATAATTTTGATCATCCTGAAGCTTTTGATTTTGAACTTTTAACTGCTACTTTACAAAGGTTAAAAGATGGAAAAAAAGCTGAAGTGCCTATATATAATTTTGTCACTCATTCTAGAGAAACAAAAACCGTAAGCAAAAATTAATAACTTTGAAATTAATTCAAATATTTAACAAAAAATTTTATAATATATAACTTGATTTTTTCATTCAAACTTAGTTTTATTTTTTCTTTAAAAAGATGATTAAAAAATCTAATTATTTCTAATTTATTAACTGAACAGTTAGTTAATACATTTATGCTTAGTAAAAAAAATATATCCTCTATATTTTTTCTTCAAGTATTTTTAGTTAGATGTCTTCTTCTTCTTCTTCCTCGCCTTAATCCCAACTACTTAGGTCGGCCATCCTTTTCCTAAACTTCCACTTGACACGATCTCCCACATCATCCACACTCACATCAGCTGACCTCATATCGCATTTTTTAGTTAGATGTACAATATAAAATATGTAAGCTATAAATAAAACAAAAAACTAGTTATGTGTTTGGTACATGATAAAACATCTAATTAATATTTTTGAACTTTTATAAATTAAAAATTTAAAGTAATAAACCAGTTTTGAATATTCAAAATTCATTGTTAGAAAGTTAAAATTTGTAGGTTAAATTAAAAAACCTATAAAATGATTTCTGATCCCAATCATCTCTTTTCTTTTATTTTTTTTTCTTACCAAAATTTTTTTTAGAAAAATTTAAATAAACAAAAAAATTCTCACAACTAAAAGTTCAAACATTGCTAGTTATTTCAGAGAGGTAACAACCTCTTAACCCCCAACACGTTATTGTATACAAGTCTTCATCAAACAGGTTTATTATATTTTTCTTTTTTAAATAATTAAAAAAATTAATTTGACATTTATTAATTGCTTTGTATAACAATTTTGATATTTTAAATACACAAATCCATTATCATGTTAAACAAATCAATATTTTTTGTTTAATTCATTGTTTTTGCACTATAAACATAAATAAGTTATTTGTTGTAGGAAAAATTGAATAAAGACTAATTTATTAAATGAATATACTTATAAACTATGTTTTAGAAAACAATGTATGGTGCCAATGTTATAATATTTGAAGGGATTTTGGCATTTTATAACACAGATGTGTTAAATGTAAGTATTTATAACCATATTATTATTTTTCAATTGTATGTTTGTGGATAAAAAATAATAAAATAGTTTTTTTGCATTTAATAGTGTTACAATTTTATAGATTAATATTTTATTATAATTTTTCTTTTTCTTTTTATTTTTATTTCAGTTTAATAATTTATATTAAAATATTTGCTATTAAGTTACTTGAAAAAATAACTTCAAAATATATTGCACTGTATATTCTATACTAATAAAACAAATTATTGATGATCAATGAACAGAAAAACTGAATGATACCACAGATTGACTAATGGCAGATCATTTAAATGATATGCAGAAAATGGACTCAAAGGTTTTTTGGTCTATTATTCATAATTAAAAAATTTAATGTTCTTTCTAGTGATAAAACTGTTAATTTATTAAAATTACAATATTGTTCTCTTGAGATAACCATAATTTCAAAATAATTTAATAACACGTTAAATAGAAATGCTTTATAATATATTATATGCATGTAACCCCATTTATAATATTTGATCTGCCAGAAAAGTTTTTTTTTTTTATTATTTAAACATTAATCACTACACCTAGTTCTTTTCAATTTATCCTTATTTTGTATGATTTAATTTATGGATTATATATGATTTAAAACATTCAATTTTAGTATGCTGTTAAACAGGGTGATTTTATTTCCATAAACTATTCAATTACCCACAAAATAAACATAATATTGAAAAAATTGTCATAACTCCTGAAGTAATGTCCCAAAAGTTGTTATTGACTCATCATTATAAGCTACTTAAATAAATATGTGGTTATTTATAAAATTAAGTTGACTCCTCAATAAGTTATAAAGGAAGTTGCTAAAAGGTAATTAATAACTGATAATTTAAGAAATATATGTAACTAAAAAAAACTAAAATTTCTTTTTTATTATTATGTTTATTTTGTGAATAATTGAGTGGTTTAATGATAATAGAATTACCCTGAGTGTGCACATTACTCAAATTTCTCTATATCAAGCTAAAAAACAATAAGTGTACATATTATCTAAGTTAGAAATACATAATAGCTATTGAATGATAAAATATGTAGAAAATATCTTTCATATATCTATATTATTTTTACTTACAGATGTTAGATATGAAAATATTTGTAGATACTGATGCTGATATAAGATTAGCTAGAAGATTGAAAAGAGATATATCTCGGCGAGGTAGAGACCTTCAAGGTGTACTTAAACAGTATTGTAATATGGTAAAACCATCATTCTCTCATTACATAGCACCTTCTATGGTTCATGCTGACATTATTGTACCTCGAGGAGGCGACAATACTGTTGCAATTGAATTAATTGTACGCCATGTACATAAACAACTTCTAGCAGTAAGTAATATATATATTTAATTTAATTTTTTTTTTTTTATATATTGTCTTTAACTTTTTCTTTTAACAGTTACCTTTTTAAGTTATTTAAATTAATGTAGATTAATTGGTTTTTAGAGAAAAGAATATATTGATAAAAAAAATTTTGTTTGAATTTTTTTTTTTTTAATTTTTCCTGTATAAAAATTAATTGTTTATTAATCACAATACCCTTTATTATCAAACACCTTTTAAACATGGGTATAATTAAATTTTATTTTACTCAGTACCCTCCAACTATATCACATTATTTTTGTATATTTATGCAATAGTTATCACAATTTATTTCAAAACTAATCTTAGATTTCAGTGATTTGAAAAAAACTACTAAATTAATTAATTTTTATAGATCAGAATATGATTAAAAATGTTGTCAAAATCTGAACAAGTTAAATACTGTGTTTTAATTAATACTTTTTTAACAAATAATTAAAATATACAGCTTTATGCAAAATTGTTTAAACAAAATATGGTATCTCTCAGAGCCATAGTAAAATAAAAAAATACCCAAATGTCAATAAGATATTCTCATCAATTATAAAAGAATATCATTTTATAACTTTAGGTAGTACTATTTATTGATAACTTTTTTTTAAATGTTTCAATAATTTTACTCCTGCTAATATTTGTATATTTAATCCTAATTTTAAAGTATTATTTTTTTAATAAGTCAAATAATCTCTTTGAAGTAGTTTTTACTTAAAACTTAGGTAATTATTATGATAATATTATATTTTAAATAATCAATTATTGATTTAACATCTATTTATAAATTGCTAAACTTGTACAAATTTAGATTAAAAAAATAGAAATATTTCTATGTATTAAGTATTTTATTATTTTAAATCTAATAAAATCACAAAAGTTTACCTTATATATTTTTTGTTTGTTTGATCAGAATACTCTTCTAAATTATAACTTCTTTTTAATTAAAAAAAAAAATGATCTCTACTAAGTGCCGGTGATATTTATAATTTCTTTGCTATTTTTTATCCTTTGTTTTTTTATTATATGTAAAAAATATAGATTTGAAAATGATTTATGTGAAACTGTTTTAGAGAGGTTTTAAGTTAAGAGAAACTCTTGCTATGTCATATGTTGGCCAACCTTTACCTAGCTCTATTCATTTATTACCAGCCACTCCTCAAACACAAGGCTTACACACTTTCATTAGAAATAAAGATACTCCCAAAGATGAGTTTATATTTTATTCAAAACGACTTATTCGACTTGTAATTGAGTTTGCATTATCACTGTTACCATTTAAAGTTTGTAGTTTTTTTATTAAAATATTTTAGTGATATATTTTTAACTGTTATTTCTTTATTAGGATGTCACTGTAGATACACCTCAATGTGTACCTTATTCTGGTAAAAGATGTGCTAGTGATAAGATTTGTGGTGTATCTATTTTACGAGCTGGAGAGACGATGGAGCAAGCAGTTTGTGACGTATGTAAAGATATACGAATTGGTAAAATCCTAATTCAAACAAACCGATGTACTGGTGAACCTGAAGTATTTATTTTATTTACAATATATATTTGTTATAATTTAATAAATAGTTTTTTTCTTTATTCAGCTTTACTATCTGCGTTTACCCAAAGATATTAAAGATTATATGGTGATATTAATGGATGCTACGGTTGCGACAGGTGCAGCTGCTATGATGGCTATAAGAGTTCTACTAGATCACGATGTTCCTGAAGAAAATATTTTATTAGTCTCATTACTTATGGCTGAATCTGGTGTGTAGAATTTTGATTTAAAGAAATACCATTTATACTTATTTTTCTATTTATTTTGTTTAGGAGTACATACAATTGCTTATGCATTTCCTCTAGTACGCATAGTTACATCTGCTGTTGATCCAGAGATTAATGAAAAATTTCATGTTTTACCAGGAATTGGTAACTTTGGTGATAGATATTTTGGCACTGAGCCCGAAGAATATCTGTCCAGCTAATTTTATCAATATATTGGTTAACTCAATATTTGCATTATCACTAGAAATATCCTTTTTTCTTTATTATTATATTGTACTTTTTTTTTACATATAGAGTTTATTGATCTTTAATTTTTTTTAGTTTTGAAAATAATTATTGTGCAATTGAAGGATGTTCTTATTAATAAAAACTGTTAAGTGAGATTGAATTTTCTTCAGACATGTAGTTGTCTATTTTAAAATTATTTCTCATATACATATGATGAACTATTACAATAATTCCTTATTTTTTTATTTAATCTAACCCATTAGTATTTTTAATTATTTATTTATTTATAATCATCAATGAATATATTTTTATTTACTCACCAATTCACTTCTTTGTGCTGCTTTTGTCATATATTTTATAAAAAAAAGTTATACTTATCAATTTTTATATTAAGACTATTGTAATAATATCATAATATTTTAAAAAATTAATAATTAAAACATCAAACAAAAAAATTTTTAATAACATTTATATATTGATTATTTTTTTTTAATTTGTTTCAAATAGACATAAAAATTTTTACAGTAACGATTTTAATCACTGTCAGACATCAAACTATACTAATTTTTTAAAAAATATCTCATTTCCTTTATGTGGAAATGAGGTATTTTCAGTGGAATCCTAACTCTACTAAACTTTTTTTTAATTTTAATTTTAAAATTATTAGATAAATGATATAACTAGGTTTTAAAATAATTTAAATTTTAAATAAATAATATAAAATTATTTTATATAATAATTTTAATAAAATAAATGTAAACAAGAAATAATAAATAATTTATTAATGAATATAAAAATTGACAATATATTCTGTGCATATATATACTTTCTATTTTGTAGAAAATATTTTACATAAAGTATTATTGTTCAAAAAAATTAATGATGTTATCAATTATTTAAGACATTCAGATGTTTAAAAGTAGATACGGTCTTACTTGGCCGCTCAGTGATAAAACTTCTGCTCGGGTAACGAGAGACATTGGTTTCGATTCCCCCTGATCTTCTAGCTTACTTTTTCCAGAGTTGATACGTTTTTTAATAGTATTAACATATTAATATATATTTAAAACCAAAAATTTCAAAATTTACATTGGTCTTATGGAACGTTTTAAAAAACGTTTCGCTTTTTACAGCCCATTGAGGACAATTGCGACCTCCTTTAAAAGAAAGTCTCTTTATCATATTTACTCCGGGATAGGAGGTTAGTCTATCGCCAGAAAGAAGGATGGCAACTCCAATCACTACACTGATGACTCTTTCAACAAACTGAGCCGCCTGTGACCGAGTCTCGACCCTACACACTATGCATCAAGCACTGTTGCGTTACCGATTTGGGCACTCCGTCTCTGTTACTAATTATAAGTTTAAAAATAATTTTCCTAGCTACTTATCTTCTATACATAAACGACACCTAAAGTGAAATAAAAAATTAATTTTTGTGTAGAAAATCACCGTTTTTTGTATTGTAATCTTCTATTAAAATTTTTGAAGTGAAACTTCTTTCAGATGATCCAAAAAAAAAAGATTATTGCGCATCACATTTCACCGTCACGTTCGACTGTAACCATTTCGCCGTCAAAAACGGATTCTATTGTTTTATTAGGAATACAGTCAACATTTTTTTGTTTTATGAACGTTTAAGTTCAATAAACATGTACATTTGATAAACATGAGTATTAGATGCACGTTCCACGATTGTTTGAAATTTTTACAAAAAAAACTTATTATTTTCGATTTTTTAAAAATGAGACATCTGATAAATAAAAAATCTATTTTAATTGAAGATTGTTAATCGTAATTTATGATTAAAACAAGGAAAACATTCTGATGTCTTTTTCTCTATAAGTAATAGGTCTTTAAAACCAATAATCGCAAAAATTCTGTAAATATTGGTTACTAATTTTCATTTTGCTATAACTCTTTCAAAATTACACTGATTCTAATGAGATTGAAATTGATAATATTTGAAACAATAATCTTATTTTTGTCATATTTATATTGTGAAAGGCTCATAGAAAATCAGAGTATTAAATAGGTTTCTTGTATACCATGTTCCCGTAGGATAGTGTTATAATTATTTAGCAAAAGCGTACAGGCTAAACTATTACAGAAATTTCCATAACACATCGTGAAATGAATCAAATAATTTAACAAAAATATTTGAGTGAAATTTTAAATAATAGCATTTGTAAAATAACAAATATACAAATTATTGTGAAATTTAACAAATACGTATCGAAGCGTTTTATAATTGGCGATGTTAATCATTATCAAATATCACAAGATAATATCTGAAATTATGAGACAAGGATAGATTCTACACTTGTCCGCAGTATGTCTTGACCCCATAACGCTATTTTATATTTACAAAATATAAGACTAAAACGCAAAATGTCAATATAAAAATGAAAAATAAGCACAAACTCTTAAAGTTTGAGAATACAGATTGTACAGTAAGTATAAACACTTAAAATTGGATATACAGAATGTAGGGAAATACAGATTATGGAGTAATACACAAATACAATTTACAAAGAATCTTTATTTCGGGTGTCCCAAATTATATCCTGGTTATACATCTAATCATAATAAAACAAAAGTCATAAAAATAATATGTACAACAAAATTTATTTGTAAAATATAAATGTACAGTAAATATTATTAAAAGTAAGAATATTTTTTTAATTAAATATATAACTATTTCATAAATGTCTTACTTTTACATAATATACCTCCTACGCGCTGAAGCGAAACTTGTTAATAGTTTTCAAACAAGTTATCACTAGGTGTACATCAATATACAAGTTTAAACAATGTATCTATGCCTCATTAAGATATTATACAAAGGGCGCATTCATAAAAAGTATTGAAATGTACACATTATAAATGAGTGACAAATGGTTTTGGATAGTTTTGGGTAATTATCAGAGCTTCTACATTCAAATCATATGTTCGGTTGTTATTGACTGGATTTGATGAATCTGAAAAAGTATAAAACTAAACCTAAAATAAATTAATGATATTTCATAAGTTTTAATAATTTATTTTTTTAAATAACATTTTAATCCAAATATAGAGTGCACTGAAATAACTGCAAAACTGTATTCTCAATTACTTAGTTAAAAATATTTAAATAACCAGAAAAAATACACCCCTGTATCCTTCAAGGTTTTTAATTCTTACGTGACAATTAAATAGGGGCACATGATCATTGAAGTCATGAATTTGTTGTAGATATGTATTTATAGTTTCATTCCAAGTACCCTCAATGATTTCTTAATCTTAGTGGTAGAGTAAAAAGCTGTACGTTCACTTGGAGCGTTTTTACAATCCATTATCACCCAAAATAAAAAAAATTCTTTACAAAAAATTCAGAGACGTATTGAAGAGGAAAGAGATATTTTTAAGCCGATATTCATAAAATATGACTAGGGAACTTTTTTTTTTTGGTTATCATTTTGCTTTATAGCACAAAAAAATTTCTCTAGAATGCTTATCACAGTAAAAAGGATTAAATTGCTCCCCTTTAAAATGAGTACTAAATACGCCCCGGAAAGACTCCTCATTTTTATTATAATTTTTTACTGCCAATACAAAATAATTGTTAAGTAAGCTATGTCATGGTAAAAAAAAAAGCAAATGAATGAGTTAACAACTTGCTGAACCTATTTCGGAATAATTACACATTACAAAAATAATATGAAAATATTACCATCCTCAAACTAAAAAAATTGAAAGTATTATATATCCGCAAGATATTTCTGACAAACCCTGTATAAATTTAGACTTTATCAATATTTTAACTAAATAGCTTCAAAAACACTAATTTTAATTATTTATACCATTAATTTACTAGTTATGATTAATAATTTAACTGTAAATAATCCATGAAAATGTATTTCATTCATGAATGAAATATATAATTTTACTTTAATTAAAATATTCAATATTATTTTTTTCAATAAAATAAAACGATTATCACATAATTTAAATAGATTAAATATTTTTTCATTAAAAAATTAGATGAATTTATATTATTTAAATGTTTTGATTTTGCTTAAAAAAACAAAAGTATTCCTAGAGAATCAGCATGGAATTTAAAAAATACGTATAAATGTGATTATTCGCTGTAGCCAAATTAATATACGCACATGTTACATTTTGTTGACATGTGGTTACCTGTTGTATTAGATATGTCTGATGGGGTTGACACGCCCTGTTTCCAATTAGCGTGCAATAAGTCACTAGATTTTAAATTAGTGGCATCTAGGTCAGGAAACTGTACGTGTTTTTTAGATCCCCTACGTGAACCAATACTTGATGAACCAATTACCGTGCCCGTTGTTTTTGTAGGGCTTTGTGTTGGAGATGGCATTGTAATCGGCCGTTTAGAACTAAGACAACTTGTAGCCGTCGGCTGACAGGTGTACCGCACTGACGATATCTGAAATTTATGTAAATTTTATGTAAGACACGTCAATGAAATTAACACAAAAATTTCAAAGGAATTCTATTTATTTAGTTGTTACAAATAAAACTTTATTAGTTTGCTGTAGTTCAAAAATAAATTACCATTACTCGGTATTTGAAAACTTACCTTCAGGGTTTGTTCGAAATTTGCAGTACCCCTTCCAGCCGTTAGTTCTTGAAATTGTGATATCACACAGAGAACGGAGTGTACCTATGAAAAACAATAATTAATAGTAATTATTATTATAAATATCATAACATTTTAACCATTTTTTAAATTAAAAAAACGCTATAACCAACTAATTCTAGTGCTTTAATTAAATAAATTGAATACATATTCACTAATTACTGTGAATGTTATCTAAGGTTTTTATTTTAATGTTAAAATTGATTTTGGAACAATGTCATTTTTTTTAGGAAATTTGTTATTTCTTCGAAAAATTCATTATTACTTTATATAAAATTAACTCACAAAATATTCAATAATGTTTAAATATTTGAATAATTATAATATTCAAGTCTCAAAATTTGTACAAATTATTTTCCCAAAGTGCAAGCTTTGATTAGCTTTTTAGCTAGAACCTGTAGCTATAATAACATCTGTTGTTGTTATGATGATTCCTATTAAATATGTAGTGTCACATGGTCCGTTTCTATTGTTCGCATTATCTGAAGTAGTAGTTCGCCTGTTCACATAACATACTATTGTATACTGAATTTATTTAGTAGGCTCCTATTGATAACCGAATGCCTTGGTTATGAATGCAGTCTTAATAAAATAATTAGTTTTGGTTTAGTTGCATTACATTCAGTCGGTCGTTAGTTAATCGATAAGCGAATTTTTATACTTTAATAAAAGTTCATTTTTCTACGGTACTAGTGAGGTGGTATATTGACTTAATAATATTCATCCTTGTACGCCATTCTGATTTTAATTTATGGTATTGAGTGACCATTAGAATTTGTCAACAAAGGTTCAAAAAACATGAGTATCCGAGAATACATATAGTATTGGTAAACTGTTGTTAGGTATTTTTCACGATATAGTTAAAAAATTACTTCATGTGTTTTCTTGTGAATATGATTCATTTGAATTTTCATAGCAGAAAATTTTAAATCGTTTTATAGAATCAATTTTTTATGTTATTCAAAGCATTTTAGAGTATGTTAGTAGTTGTGTTAATATTACTTTAAATACTTTGTTTCTAGTTTACTTATCTAATACTTTGGATTTTACCCACTCAATTTTTCTTTTCAGAATTTTTTTATTCCTATTCTCTTTTAGATTTCAGTTTTGTTTTTTTTTTTTTAATGAAACAAGATGTGAGTTTTAATAGAGATTTTTGTGTTTCGACGAAATTTTTACTTTTAAGAATGCTCTTATTTCGAATTATTTCGTTATTTTTAATAGGAAAACAAATATGAGCGTTATAAAAATGTAAAAATACAATTAATTTTTTCAAGATTATTTTAAATAATTAGAAATTAATCAATTACAAAATGAAACATAAATCAATATTATTCAAATATATTAAACTTTGAAGGATAAAAAAAAGTTATTCCCCAAGTAGAAATTTCACCCTATGCCTGTTAGGAGAAAAGCAATCAACGATTGTAATTGTGTTTATTCAATCGATCTGATATTGAACTCGAACTAAAATTAATAATAACAACATTATATCTCGTACTGTCAACGACTTAAAATATACACATTTTATACTATAAACTTTCACATGCTTTTAGCTGTATTTTAAAATAATATTGAACTAGGAATGTTAATTACGCAATATAAAAATTTATTGATACTATTTTACTAAATAGCAATAAATTTAAAGAGAAAATTAGACCAATGTTTGTAAATCTGTAAACAGATTTACATGAATTAAAAAAAAAAACAAAATAAATTTCACCCATCCATAAACACCTAAAATATATATCAAATTAAAATTAAATTTAATGAGATTTGCAATCATAAACATTTTTTGTATATCATTTACATCACTGAGATGCCAAATAGCTGAGTTAAAATAAATAAGTTTATGCAATATGAAGAGAGCACGAAAAAAAAATCGTTTCTTTTATTTTAATCAAAGATAAAATCATGAACAATATTTACGATTTTACCTTTGTTTTTTATGTTTTTAAACATTTTGAACTTCAATTTTTTCAATAATATTTTCAAAATAGCTATGACTAATTAAATGAATGTGTTCTATCAATTTCATTTTATTAGGTTAAATGAACCATAAAAAATAAAATAAATAATAAAAATAACGTCATACGTTAAAAAAGTTTTATTATCATTTGAAAAATGAACTCAATGGAACTAAAAGTAACCAATAGCCAATAAACATTTCAATAAAAAATACTTACGTTTAATGTTAATAGGAAAAAGTCAGTCGTGTATAAAATTGCAGTAAGTGGAGTGAACTCGACCTGAAATAATTGTTAATGTGTAAAAAATTTAGTTCACAAAGCTGAACATAAATATATGTACTATAAAGAATATAATTATGATTATACTATTTATTCATAATTGTCAATTAAAAGCATTACCGACTTATGAAGGGTCATGTGAGGTAAATGTAAACAATCGAGGTAATTGAAATGCATTTTTTTAGATATATAAATTAGAACTTTGTAATCTAAAATAAAACCAGCTAAACATTCTAAGAAAAAAATATATTTTTGTTTTAATATCCACCCTATTACTTTTAAATAATTCTTAAAGTGTTTGGATATAAAGTATAAGAAAAGTATAATGTCAAAAAAATTGTATTATGTACCAAACTGATATCATAAAAATGCTTTGAATTTAAATATATATTTTTTTCATGTAATAGTTATCATGATTACCGTATAATAAATAATAAAATTATAGCAATAAAACAGTCCAAAATCGCAGTACGGCATTCGAGATTACTATAAAATAAGAGATGGGTACTATCAACTTTATAAAATAAAAACTTTACTTTTTTTTAATGCATCAGCACAGTAGAGCAATAATTACTGAGTAGAGTAGAACAATATGAGACATAATAGTGGAGTTAGCTAGTCAATTAGCTGTGCTATGCTTCGTAACAGTTACAATTCTTATTTCGGTGTTCAAATTATTTCTACCTAACTGTAATTTATTTTAAGAGCTTAGACAAAGACAACAAAAAGGTAAGTCAATTTGATTAACTCCTGTTATAGATCTTAATTACTAGAAGAGTATTGATCGTTTTTAAATAATAAGGTGGTCATAAGTAGTTGAAGTCATTAATATAAGTAATTAATTTGTCATGTAAAAATACGCGGTCTACACATATTTTAAAGGTCCTACGAGCGAGGCCTCTGTGTTGTTGCCGGCGCCACTCAAGGAAGAAGTCCCTAAACAAAAGGCTGTGTTAGCGCACATGCTACTCGAGGTTACTTAACACACATGAAATCAAATTCTTACAATTCAACATACGAATCAAATAATCCCAATAATAAGGTATCATTTTAATACCTTATTATTTTTAAACCCTCGAACCGCGACCCCAAAGAAATAATTAACAACTAATTGTATGTAGTAATTTACTCGTGCTCTACCATATTTACCCCTTTCACATAAGCCCATTATTTTTATAGTTTAACATTACAGTAATAACAAACTTTTGAACTTGCATTTATTCTATATTTTAATTATATTTTGAATTACTACAATTTACAAGTACCCCATTCATTTACATTTATTCCACTTCTGAGTAGGACGTTATATGACTAAAATTTTTTATTTAAATAATCACCTAAATAAAAAATGATTCGGATAATTTTTCGTATTTAATTGAGTACATTATTATTTTAATAATAATGTTTGCGAATTATTCAAGTAAATTTATTCAATTATAATTGTTAAAAGTCTATGCAAATAACATTTTATTTTAACAAAAATTTATTTAGTTTTATAGTGTTTTAGTTGTACCGTATAGAAGAGTTTTCTAGAACTAAAGTTAAGATTTTTTATTACATTGTTGTATAAACATTCATATGTTTTCTAAAAAAAATTGTTTTTGTAAGTTTCATCAGTATCATATTTGAATCGACCAATGACACAAGTCACTAATTTTTTAAATGTTATGATAATACACATAATCACGTAAAAATGAAATTTATCAGACTTGTACTTAATACAAATATTAGCTAAAATAAATTTTCTCAAAATTAAGTCATCTTAAAAACTATTCAAATCACTAACTTGCGCAGTCTTAGCCTTTAAATATATTAATAATGATTCGATGACTTGTACATGTTGAATTTGATTACTTATATAATATTTTATTGAAATGGCCGATTCAATTGTTTTTTGTATTTGTAGTCTGACTGACCAACACCTCGTGCCATATGGCGCGGTACAATGTCCAGTAAGTGTCGCACGGCTCGCCACAAATGACACGTTGTCTCTTTTTTCGTCGTCAAAAAGCAACGTCAAAGATCTGGAGCCACCGGCACTAGACGTGTCGTGCGACCGCACTCGACGAATCTATCCGCACCGTCGCCATCGACACTGCTGAATTTTGGACGTCCGGACACCACGTCACCGACGCCAGTGAAAGTGCCGCAATATTACACGGAGTTTATTAATTATGTTCGTCTTTTGGGCTTATTTTTGAAAATAACCTGTTAATCTGCTCATGAATAATAAACGGCCCCTAACGGGTCTGTACCATCAAAACCCCAGTGTCGACTACATTATTGCGACGTAAGTCGTGTCAATAAATGCTCAGACTTGGTGGTTAGTCCATCGGCAGAGAGAGAGATGGCAAGACCAGTCACTAAACTGATGACTCGTTCAACAAACGGAGCCGCCCGTGACCGAGTCTCGAACTCGAGATAGTGCAGATAGAGATGAGATAGACAAACCGACTGTCCTTTCTACATTTTATATTGATATTATTCATTTTTCAATAGTAAATTATAGGACTAAGAAAGCCAGCAAAGCTTATGTTGGGTCTGCATAATCATTTTACGATCATCTGGATGTGAAATAATCAGACTTTGTGAGTTGGTAGCTTTCGATAACACATTAATTCAGCTGGAAGAAAATTATTAACATTGTGACCTCAGAGCATATCGCCTTCAATTATAGTTCATTCGACTAATTTATTGTTATTACAATATACAATATAGGGTGTTGAGTAAGTAAGAAAAAGGGTATCTATTGTTCTCATTGTCTGTCAACCAGTTTCCTGAATTTTTGAACACTCTGTATATCAACAAATTAAAAAGATTACCAAATAAACATTTTACTATTTTTATATTACTCTAGTATTAACTATTAAATACTACACTAATATTATATAAATATATAAGTATTGAAGTTGAAATATTAGCAGTTTAATTTTAACATATATTTTATTTAATTCAGAGTAATTAACACAGTAAGTACTATCGTTATTTTTTTTATAAGTATAATTATCATTATGTGTGCACCCCAAACTGGATATAAATCGACTGTATTTTAAATAACGTTGGTTATACAAAAATGAAAAATAGAAAATAAAGAAACAGAGGGATTACTATATCTCTCTCTTATCCTCTTTATCTAATGGATGTCTATGATCATAAGCTTAAAACGGTTTAACTAATGAATAATAATGCTAGATTGGTTGGGTTAGACGCTAGATCATTAACAGATTTACTAAAAGTTTGTGATAAATTATGCATAAAAATGATTTTAAATGAAAACCTACAGTTGTTCAAATAGGACTTAAGTTTAAAGATGTCCGTTTATTTAATCAGACTGATTACCAGTAAATTAATTAAAGTTTATTGATTAGAAGTGTGTTGGTGATGAAAGGAAAATTTTGCACATCAATCAATATCTTCTGTCATAAGTGAATTCATAGTAACTTTTATTGTAAAACTACTATGACATAATATCTAATCAAATTAAATAATTGCTGTAAAACATCATTTCAACATTAAGGTCAAGAAAAATGTGAACAAAAACCGAACCAGTAACAATATTTCAGGTAAACACACCATTACAGATCGATCACATGTATACTGTGTGTGTGCAAATGGTACATACTCTCATAATTTATGTTCAACTTTACCCTATTACTAGGTTATACGACGTCAAAGTTGTATATGGTATGATTATTTTAAAAATTTCCCTTAACATTAAAAAGTTAATTGGCATTCCCATGTATATTTTGTAAAGTGGCCCTTTAAACCGTCAAAACTTATAAGTCGTAATACTATTTTTTTTGCTTCAAGGTCTCGGCTGTAATGTTTTATTGGAGTTACAACAAAATGTCGCGGGGAAACTAATTAAATTCATACACATCACTACCTGCAACACAATATGTTTACCATTGAGTTATATATAAGAGGGTATTAATGTAATTTTGAACAAATTTAGAGGTGTCCTAAAATTTAATTAATTTTGAAACCAAATTTAATAAATTTTATATAAAAACCTGATTCCACCAAAAATTGTATAACTGAAACACAAGTTTAGGCTACAATTAACATAGAGTATAATATTTAAAACAATATTGGCAAGTAATATTTTCAAAAAAATTAAACTGCAGAAATTTTAATTTTAGTATACGAGTACAATCAAATATATTTTCAAATAATGTTTTTATACAATTAGTGCAATTTTAATGGAGTCATTAGTACAATTGTCTTTATACAACCGACAGCCAATATTTTGTTTTAATTTTTTTGTATCACTTACATGGAAAACTTTTATTTATTTAGTAAACTACTGGAAACGTCCTAAAAAATTACGTGCAATGGTATTTCAATATTTATGATTAGTTATAGCTGAATGTTAGCCGTTAACGATGACGTCACCCTTTTATTATGACAATTTCATGTTAAAATAAGTTGGTTTTTTTTTTTTTTGTGAACTGCCAAGAAATTCTGAGTTTATATTTGCTTACAATAATTTTAACGTAACAATTATTATTGTCATGATTAATTTTATTTAATAATAAGATTGTAATATTTTTAACACGATATTTTGATATACAAGTATACCATTTAATTAATAACGTCATTTAAAAATTGTTTCGACTGATGCAGTTAAATTTTGGTTTTATATTTTCAAGATGTATTTTTCACTTTTTGAAATTGCTGATGAATTTTTATGAAAATTTATGTCATCCATAAGTGATCCAATATTTGAGGTATTTGTGTAGGTTTAAAAAATACTTCTTATATCAAACCTTTATAATTAGAAACTCAAATCGAAATAACAAAATATAAATCGCATGTTATCATTCAACAAAAACATACAGCAAAGTATTCAAAACTGTGATTGAACACAAAAATTACTTTTTTACGAGTTATTCTATGTTTAATTAAAAAAAATCCTCAAGATGACTACAATATAGAAATATACCATAACTTATTTATTCAATCTCTACCATTACTGATATTTAACAATTTATTATTGCAAATTTAAAACATTAGAAAATATATATTATAAAAGTCCCTTTTAGTTTGGTTTATTTGCAAAAGGAAATCAAAATATACTAGAAATTAAATGACTAAATGATTTAAATTTTTCACATAAATAATAGAAATAAATTGATAAAAATTATGGATTTGGTAAAATTTGTTTGATATTATAAAATTTAATTAAATTAATGGAATATTGTACGTTTTTTATTAAATGTTTAGCTATACATCAATTTTATCTAATTATTTCAGAATGCAATAACCATAATCATAATGCGCTTCATGCACGAATAAAATACATTACTTTATAATTTACAACAATAGCATGTTTTTCTATGTTAAAAATATTTAATTTTGTAAAAATTGATGTGATGTTTCCAGATAACCTAATTTTTTAATAAAATAAAAAAAACTATTTGAAGTGCAATCATTTTTTGTATGAGATGTTTCGAATAGCTATAATATTGCACATAAATAAGAAACTTTAAAACCGACGTCCAAAGTTAGTGCATAAGTTAAAATTATTGGTTCTATCTTAAAATAAGAAGCTAGAATTTTATGAATAAATATCGATTTTATGTACACTAAATAAAATTGCATGGTCTGGTGCGTTTAAACATGTTTATTGATTTAATAATTATGAAATTAATACGTCAGAAATAGGTATACAAAAAATATTGAAGAATTTTGGTTTAGTTCGACTTTTTAAAGTAATCCTTAAACTATAAGTGGTATAGAACTTTTTTTTACTAAGGAATAACTTTTTCTACCTAAACTTTTAAACTACTTTGTGGTGCAATTATAAATCAATAGAAATTCAATATGAAATGACAAAAGCGCAGGAATAACTCCAAAAAAAGTTTTTAGACTTGAAAAAACAACATCTTCTGCGCATCGAAACTCAAAGGAAGGCACTATTAGTGTTATTGGGAACAAAGATGAGTCCTGAATAAAGCAAATATGTCTAGGAGAATTGTAATTTCAAACGTGATCGGCATGCAAAACCAAAATGAAAAAATTTGAGGCGCAACATGGAGATAAACGCCTAAAAGTTTTATATCGTGGCTTTTGAATAATACTCTAAAGAAAAAAAAAATCAAAACTAATTAGACAGTTTAATGTCAATTATGTACCATAGATAATAATCATTGTTCTTAACAATCGCTTTCTCATTGTAACGGAAAACATTTTTCCTAGTGATTTGCTAATTACAAAAGTTGCAAGTACTGTATTTACGTTTTAGTTATCGAGCAATCAATTTTAATTGTTCGATATCTTAAAAAAAATTAAAGCAAAATTAAACCGTTTATTGATAAGAATAGTAACAAAAATAAAATAAAAACAAATGTTTACTTGATGTTTTATATAAGGACATTTAATACAAAATTATCGTATAAATTTTCCAATTGTTAGTTAAAAGAGAATGTAGTTATGTATTTTAATTTTAATAATTTTAGAAACACTATTAATAATTAAATCAATATATAAATATATTATTGGGAAAATTTAATGTTTAAACACATATTTAATCTCACCACGAATGACTGTATCCTTTATAAATTAGTCTGCATAAACTAATTAAATAAATGTTAAAAAATCAATTTGTTGTTTAAGAAAAATCTTTTTGCTAAAACAATTACCTAACATTTAGAAACTTATCCATGTTACAAAGATAGTTATAAAGATTGAAGTACAGTAAAGCTCATCATAAATTCTCAATTTAAGTCACAAATAGAATTAGTTGTTCAGAACAGTACTTTAATAATAATAAGGCACATAATGATTTATTTTATTTTTAAACTTAGTTTTATTGGACAATGCTGTTGATAATATAATTTTGAATGTTTGTTTTAACTAAATTAAACACGATTCTTCTGTATATTTCTGATGAATTCTTCAAAATCTCAAGAGGAAATACTTTTTAGGTAATGACGTTTTTTAAATTTTGCAAAAAAAGATCAACATCATTGTATGATGTAAAGTATCAGATATACATTTTTGAACACAATACCTATGTGCTGTTATTTTGCATACTCAAAGCGCCTTTTAGTAATTATCTAATATTACCATGTCTGAAAAATCATGTTAAACTTGAGTTTTGTCAAATAAATAACAAAAAATATATATAAATAAGTTAAAATTGTGATGTCCTATAATGATTTTTTATGGCCATAAATGTTTAGATATAGATATTTGTATGTATCTTTTAGTTTAAATCTACTGATATTTAATTTAATATTCATACAAAAAGCATGGACATTGCAATTTAATTTCATTTATTTGTAGATATCCAAAGAATATTGACGCTTTTGTATAACTTATTCGCAACTAAAAATGAATAAAACGTATAATTTGTAGTTTTTATATATTTTTTGTAATTTTACTTAATTAACACCGTTATTTACTTAGTCTTTAAAATTTATTATACTTGAATAAAAAAAAAACGTTTAAAATACAACCACTATACTCCTTTAAATAGTAGTATTATAATAATAAATATATATGAATTATATAAATAGTAGCACGTTTATCTATGTACAGAAGATTTTTAGTTCGAAATTAAACTTTTTAAAAAATGTAAAAACTTGATTGATATAATTTAGTAATACTTGACAGTTTCTGAAAAAAACTTGAAGCATTATCTTAGTTTTTACTTAGTGCAATGTTGAATCTTACTTACATGTATAACAAAATCTCATATATTTTCGTGTGCGGTTATTTTAGTGGAAAATAGATACAACCAATTTATTAAATTTGTAATGGATTGTTTATGTGAGTGCACGTAACATACATTTACCAAGAAAGTAAAATATATGTGTTTAATCAAGTTTATAATGTGACATTTCATTAAATATTTGATCTTACCATCGCATAAGTTTTCTTTAAAGAATTATTTGTAAAATTATGTTAGTACATTCAAACAAATAAAAGGAAAAGATAAATCTTATAGACTACAATTATTTTTGTTAGTTAAATTTAAATTGTATACATACTGTATCCAATCTGAACAAATAAACAGAATACGCGATGTCCATTGCAGTCGCTGTGATCATAGCAAAAATCCAAGGTAAAAATAAAACTTTGATGTCCTGAAAAATTAGAAAAATTAATTATATTTTTAATTTTACAGAAAACAACAATTACAAAGAACTTATAAATATATTTAACAATGCTAAACAACAATCTTATTAATATTTATATTATTCAATAAAAAAAAAATGTTTTTTTATTATTTTTTTTTTATAATTTATTGTATGTTTAAATGACACGAAAATATCAATAACAACAATATTTAGCAGTAACAAAAGGCTGTGTAAAAGTTATATAATATTTTTAAAAGTAAAATAAATTACAAATTATGTTAATTATTTTTATTTCATGTTTACTCTTTTTAAAAACATCAAGGTAGAATTTTTTATCAATATATTTAT